TAAGGCCTAAATGGAACCTGTGTGAAATAGATGATAGGATCTGTGACTTTTTCCTAACCATCTGGACAAAACTCTTATATGTTCAGATCCAGATTAAGACAGGACAATGTAATTCTATCCTTCCATTGGAAATAACAATTGAGCTAGGAATTGTGTTGCATACATACAGGTCCTCCTCAACTTGCGACCATTCATTCAGTGACTGTTCCTTCCAATGCCTAACTCAACTGTTGCAATACTGCTGAAAAAAGTGACTTACAATCCATGCTCACACTTCAAACCATTCAGTGTCCCTGCGGTCACATAATCAAAATTCAGGTGCTCGGCAACCGGCACATTGTATATTTATGATAGTTGCAGTGTCCCAAAGTCACATGATTGCTATATGCAACTTTCCCAAGTCAATGGGGAAATACAAATTTGCTTAAGAATTATGGCAAAAATAGGTAATAATATCGGTCATGACTCACTTAATGACTGCATTACTTAGCAATTAATGATCTGGTCCCAATTGTAGTCATAAGTCAAGGACCATTTCCCCCAAATATTGGTTTAACACAGGGGTCGTCAAACTTGGCCCTTTTGTGACTTGTGGACTTCAACTCCCAGAATTCCTCAGCCAGGCATGCTGGCTGAGGAATTCTGGGAGTTGAAGTCCACAAATCATAAAAGGGCCAAGTTTGAAGACCCCCTGGTTTAATATCATGAACTCTGGATGTGAAAACGGGATTTATTTATCAAGGCATTTGTGGCATATTCCAGGACGTTCCATGCAAACTGTTCCTCTATTGCTCCTGTCCATATTTTGGGAGTTTGAAGCTTTTCATTTCATATTATTAATGCTTTTTTTCTGAAGAGCAAAGACTTATGTTGCCTTAAGTCTCATAATTCTTTGTTGCAATTAACAATGCAAGACACCATATTTATTACAAGCACATTCATTTTGAACTCTAGCTTCTAAATTACAAGGCTATCTGCTTGGATTAGAAATACCCTCAGATCTGTCGTACAGAGGGAGTTTTACAGTAGTGGGACAAATTTGTATCCATAGAGAAACATAATTATCTCATGCTCTGTGTGCCTCAAGGTTGGCATACATATTTAGAAGACCTCAAATGAATGATCTTCTGTGAAAGCCTGGCACAGTGCTCTTTTCTTTTAAAGGCTAAATATATTAGCTTTTAATTATTTGGAATTAATGTCTTCTGTTGCACCAAGAAAAGAGGGATTTTAATAGAATGATCCAGTAACAAAGAATCCATATTAAACAACAGCATAACCTGTTTGCATTAAACTATAAAAATATCTTTACCTGTACATCTATTCTTCCTTAGCCAGAGTTAAGGACTCCTACATCTTTTAAAGCTCAGTTGAAAAGTTAAGCATGTATCTGACTTTTCTCTCTCAGATCAGTAAGACCTGAAATGTTTCATTTTGCAGAGATCCTGTTGCAGACACAGTAGTATTCTCAAAAGAACTGTACCCACTTTTAAAAGAAATATGCATTTTAAACCATCTACTAATTTTTGAAATACGTTTTTCTCAATTAGATAATTGTCTGCATGTGCATCTTTTATGAGACATTGTAAGCGATGCCTAAATTTTAAGGTGGTATTAGGCCATCTGTTTAAAAATTCTGAACATCCCAAAGCTTAATTCAGTATTTGATAGTGATGATAGCGATGATAAATATAAATATGTTGGATAAAGGCTGCCAGTTTGGTGTAGTGGTTGAGGCACCAGGCTAGAAACCAGGAGATTATGAGTTCTAGTCCTTCTGAAAGTTGACTGTGTGTCTTTGGGCCAGTCACTCTTTCAGTCCATCTCACCTCACAGTAAATAGTCTACCTTTGAATTTGCAAATAGAGTAAATAATTTCATATTTGCTCATTGAGAATGTGCGTAATTATGGTCTGCTTTTTAACATTTTTGCCATACGCTAAATAAATAAACATCACAGTTCTTATGGGAAAATAGTAGGAGGAAGGAGCGTTAGGAATGTTCACCATCTTCCATTATTTATAAAAGTAATAAATATGGGATATAAATAAATAAATACAATGAATGAATGAATGAATACATACATACATACATACATACAGTTTCCAGCTCTGCTTCTTCTTTCACTTCTGTTCTGGTTATGCTCTGTTGATTCACAGTGTGCTTTTCTTTATTGGCGTTGTAAATATCTTTGCATAAAATTGGATATAATAGCTAACTGAACCATGCTGCTGTTCAGATGGTGTTAAAGAAATAGTGAAGACTGAATCAAATAGTTAGAAGTGGATGGTCTATAATGTAGCAATAGATTTTCAAACAAAAAGGCAGTTATTTACTAAACTGTTTTAGGGTGGATAATGTATATTTGAAGAATACCAGATTATATTCTAAACAGTTATGGAAATATGGCTGAGCTCTGATATTAAATGAGAGGGTGATGGAAATAAATGTTAAACTGCAAGTAGGGGATTATAAAGCAAGCCTTCCAAGATAGCTTTATGGAAATGTTAATTATTCGAGATAAAGGGTGTGTATGTGTGTATTTTTATAGTATGGGATCTCAGTGTGTAAATGAGGTGATAATAAATGGGAATCGACCAACAGACAATTAGCTAGCTCTAGTGGTAGACTAGAGAAGATAACATGTCACCAATGGCTTCATGATTCAGCACTGATTATGGACTTCTTGATGATTTAATAGTTACTTTAGATGATATTTCCATTCTTTTACAATATCAGGCAAGAGCATAAATAGCCACAGCTGCTGTTTGTGCCCCAAAAATCCTTCATTAGAACTCAAGAGCAAAAACAGCATATTAAGAAGGATTAGATAAATTCATGAAGGATAAGTCTCTCAATAGTTACTTGTCATTATGATTATTTATTAGGGCTGTGCCAGGTTCAGATTGAAAAAGAAAGAAGTGCTTCAGAACGTGCATGGATAAATGTAAATACTTGGTAAATCCTTAAATCAAGTTTGTCTAGGATGGTGCTACAGTTGGGGAAGACACAGCTGCTTTAAAGAGCTGCCAACAAATGTTATGTGAATACTTCACTTGCTCCAAAGCAATTCCCCCACAGATTTGAAATTGAAGCATTCCATAGCCCCACTAAACATTATTTCTACTGTCATAGGTAGTATACAGTATGTAATTATACATATCAAATGTCATACCTTATTGGAAGAAGGAATCTTTGCCTACTTTACAAGAATGGTTTCATAAAGTTTCGTATTTGGCAGAAATGGCAAAGATTTCGGCTTTCTTAAAGGAGCAATCTCAAGAAAAAATTTTTGCGGTATGGGAAAAATGGATAAATTTTATACAACAAAATCTGGATATGGAAAAATATTATTTAGCCTTTTTATAATTTGTAATGATTGTTTTTTCTTTCTTTCTTTCTTCTTTTTCTTTTTTATATATATACATTTTTTACGTATTATTATTCATATATATATTTTTTTTTATATATATATATGCTTTATTCTTCGTCTACTTTCTTCTTTCTTCTTTCTCTCTCTCTCTTTTTTTTTATTTTTTTTTTTTCTTTTTAGTATATATTATTCATTTTAAAGTTTATGTTATGTATATTATTATTATATATATTATTACTGTGATTTTTATTATTATTATTAATTATTTTATAAGTTGCAAATGTTATTTTTAAAATATTTGTTAAATAATCCTATATTCAGTTCTGGGAAGTCGGGGGGGGTGGGGTGGTTGGGGAGGGGGGGGTGGATTCTTATTTGTAAAACTTTTGAAAAATTTCAATTAAAAAAAAAAAATGTCATACCTTTTCTGAGGCATGTAGGTGAACTCTGTCTTTCTCAGTTAATCATTCAAGGACTTTCCTTCATATTAAGCTATGGGAAAGTCTTTAGGAGAGCCTTTTTAAAAGGCACATGATAATGAAAGGATGTAGATTGACAGAGGAGTGAAGTAGGTGGGAAAAGATTAATACCTCTTACAGCATTTACAGAATTCTAGCAGTGTTACAGAATTACTATTTCAATGTCCCTTCCTGCCCTTTCATTTCAGAAGTTCTGATAATGGCCAATGGCTCTGAGCCCCTAGATGTGAACTGGAAGAGAGCACATTTCTATGAAGATACAGAAGGATTTCTCCACTCTTGGACTTTAGGATTCTAAGACAGATTAATATGGACATGAGTTACAGCAACATTATAAATGAGCAAATGCAAAAATGACAAGAACTTGGAAGGCCAAGTAGGTGGGACATTAACGAATCTTTCATTCCTTAATGTCCCACCTACTCAGAAGCTTATGAAAGACCTTTTCTAGAACCTGGTGCCAATGGTTTAAATCAGGGGTAGTCACCCGTGGCTCTTTTGTGACTCGTGGACTTCAACTCCCAGAATTCCTGAGCCAGCTGAGCCAGTTGCAGTCCATGAATCATAAAAGAGCCAAAGTTGACTACCCCTGGTTTAAATGAAGGAAGCTGCAATACCTGTCCCGCTGCCTTATTAATCAAGTTGCCCTGTTCTTCAAACTTTTGTCCATCTGCTACGCATGGAAATCAAGATGAAAGATGCAATAGTGGTAGTTCAAGAGATTGTTATTGAAATGCAGTGTAAGAGCCAATGCTGGCCTATAGTTTCTTCTTGAACTATAAAGTATTGACCAGCATCTCTTGTGGGGAAGAACCCAGGCCCACATGAAATGTATCAGCACTTCCATCCCTATTCCTCTGTTCTTTTTTATTTGAACTAACTTTTGTATCAGTTACAGCAGAGGTCCCCAACCTTTTGGGCACCAGGGACCAGTTCCGTGGAGAAAGGTTTTTCCATAGACCGGAGGGTGCGTGGTTTTGTGTGCTGCCTGCATCCTATGGATGGGCCTTTGTTTGTTTGTGTGGACTGGTTGCTGGTATGCTGTGGCCCGGTACTGGTCCACAGACCGGGGGTTGAGGACCCCTGAGTTACAGTGTTGGCTGAGGTGGTGGAACTCTTAATTCTAAGATCTTTCTTTCTACCCACAGTACTGGATCAGCTCCTTCCTGAGCTGAATGTCCTGCTCAAACTCTTGGACCACGAATACCTGAGTGCCACTACAGTGGAGAAGAAAAACACCGTTTCAAATATCTTACAAAAGCTGCAGCCTCCAGCAGGTTAGGAAAGCCTCGCTGTCATATTTCGTCACTGTGTTTTAACATACTGTTTTCTTCCCTTTTTTCCCCTTTTTGTACAACCATAACTATAAAAAAATATGTTTGGCATGTTTTCTTCCTCGATTGTGTCATGTTTTGGCTCCTGACATGTCTCGGCAGGTGTCAGTCTTTTGTTTGAGTGCTGGGGAATCACTGGAATAGATTGCAACATTTTTCCAGTTGTTTGCCTCCAGTGACAGTTGACAGTGATCAGTTGCCTGGCCAGCAAGTCATGTTTTGCTTTTTTTAAAGCAAATGCCCCAGAGGCAAAAGGCAAGTTGGGGCTTTGTTATCGAGGACTGTCCATGATGCCAGAGAGGTATAAAAGTATATTTTCATGAAAGATGTTAATTCAGGCAAATGAGCTGTTCCTTTTCAATCAGCTCTTCACATTCTCTAAATGCAACTGCTGTGTAATTGCTGTGAACATTAAACAAGGAGGCAGATACCAACACATTACTGTACATAAGGGCAGATTAAATGCTTGCCCTACAGTGCTCTAATCCTGCTCCAAGTAGGAGAGAGAGAGAGAGAGAGAGAGAGAGTGTGTGTCTTGTGATTTCACAAATGAAACATGTGTACGGTATCTTTGTCTTCTTTACAGGAACAGGAGATTGCAGGGAGGGGTTCTACATCCCAGAAAGCTAAACAATTCTCTAAGGCAGCTTATCCCTCCCTCCCTCCTGCATCTGTTTCCATTATGGTTTTAATAATACAGGATCCTTGGCCCTTTGTTGTTACAAGTACCTGACTCCCTCTGGTGGAGCATTCCATGCTAATGGACCCCAACAGATGACCTTGAGAAGCAGAAATAAACAGGCATCAAACAATCACTGGCAAGAGATGACTGTTCTATTCTTTGAGGCATTTGAGCCTTACACACAGGGTTTCTTCATATTTATGATTGTTCCCAATATAGGACAAATGAAATTGTAAGCCTTTCAGGGTGGATATTTTTCTACTTTTAATTTTTGATACTGCATCTCATGCCTTTTCATGTCAGCCCATTACTTTTTGGGAATTTGTGTAATTAGTTCTACATTAGTATTTCCAGATGGGATGGCCTATCTGTCAGAATCCATGGAGTGTCTGCATCTGTGTATGTGTGTGATTTTGTGTGGACATGTGTGTGTATCTATGTGACTCTATGTGTGTAGAAGAGCAGAACCTCAGATAGTGAAAATAGTGATATTATTTAACCTTGCTTTAGTTGGCCAGGAATTGTTATTTTCTTTCCTGTGGAAATGTATGTTTCCATTAGACTTCCTGCTGACTGATTTCTGCTGAGACAGAAGATTTCCATAGGAAGAGCAAATGGTTCGCATTCACTGATCAGGAGATTTCTCTCTTCTGTCCTGCAGCAACACCCAGCATATATATTCTTTATAACTCTGGATCACTTGAAGCAATTCTGAAATGGCCCTCTCTGAAGGAAAGTGATGTCTCCTCATTTTTGCCTTATACTTTTCAGATATCAATTCTTCCTCTTGAGGATAGACATGCCCCCCTTTGACCTTCTTTGAATTTTGTCTGAAATTGCTATTTAACTAGACTGGCTGAAGTTCTGGGAACTATAGATACATTAAGTGAAAAAGTTTCATTCAGATAGCTGGAAATATAAATGCAACATTTGTTCAGATAGTGCGAATTTTACTGCTGTCTTATGAAATCATGATAGAAACCAACAAGAAATTTAAAGTGCAATGGGCAAATCTGTATGGTCTCATATCTGTTCTGTGAAGTCATTATGGCATAGACAAATCTATGAATTAAATCTAAACTTAGTAAAACAGTACTGATTTGAGAGATAGGGAACTCAAAATTCTGCAAGGACTAAATACCTGTTTGGCTGTATTGGATATTTTTTCCTATAGATTTGGAACAGGAGTTTAAGCTGTTCTTTATCTTTATGTTCCATGAATGCTCACCAGTTTTTACCTGTTAAAAGATCACACATGGCAAGTGAATTTTCATTTTAAAAAATGCTATCTCATTACTACTGATTGCTTCTTTAAAATGTACAATAGGAAACATTAAGTATGTTCTGCAGTTTTTTGTGTACATTGCAGACCAATGAGAAGCCCAAGAGTTTAGCTTCCTGCATAAACTAAGCTTCCTGTAGAAGTTGTCCTAGCAATGACTTGCAACTGTGAGAGGGAAGGTCAAATATTAAAATTTGAATGTCATTTTATGTGTGTTTATTGTATCATTTCTGCCTTTCAGGGAAGGATGCAAATTACATGTATATGAATACGACAGCACTGCACAATGGTACTAGTTTTGTGGAATCACTGTTTGAAAAGTTTGGTATGTACAGTGGATTGATGTGATTATATTATCACCTATAGATGTGATTATTTTTGTCCCATTCAGTATCTGAAGTGGAAGAGTAATGGAAGTACTATAAGTGACAGAGAAACCACATGTTATCAGAAAATCAGGAGGAGTCTAGTATCACCTTTTTGACTAACACATTTTATTTAAAAACATAAGCTTTCATGAGCTGCAGTTTACTTCATCTCCAACAACTGATTGATTTGATATACATACAGTATATATATTATTTACCTGTAGATTTTGACAAATTTAAATACTACCATTTTATTAATATTGGATATAGGTTTGGGAGCAAATACATTCCCTCCCTGCTTTAGTTCTAAAAGGCAATAGCTCTTTTGAATAAGTTATTTGTATTGGAGAAGAATTTCCACATCTAGTTTGATCTTTTATTTCATAGTTGTATCCAACTTAATACTTTCAAATTATAATTTCCGTCAGTGCTAACATATCACAGAATCAACACAGATTGTCATCAGCATAACTATCCAAGTCTCATCCAAGACATCTTCTGTTTTTCTTGATCATCTCTTTACTTCAGTAAGAGAACAGCTGACTCTCTCTTTGTGTCTTCCTTTCTCTGTCTCCCATAGTGATTCAGAGGAAAGAGGCTACATAAATCTCATAGCCCCATACCTTTGTGGGCCCATATATTAGGATCTGAATATAACAATGAATATACATGTTACTGTACTACTCTGGCTTCTATTTTTTTTCTCAGACTGTGACTTGGGCAACCTTCAGGACATGCAAGAAGATGATGGAGATGGTAAAGAAGGTATCAACTTGGAACTCTCAAGGAGTCAATCAGCTAAAAGCGTAAGTTCCACCAATTCTCAGTTCCTCATTCCATAACACATGAGATTATTTTATACTAAGGACAAACACTGGCCATCTACTTCAATGCTGTTCATATTCATGTTCACTAATTTGGTGCTCTCCAGAAATATTGGAATTATAGTTCCCTATACTGGCTGGCAATATCAGCACCTTCTATCCTGACAGAACTGGTGGGCAACAAGTTGGGGAAGGCTGGTTTGTAGTGATTGACTGTGACATTTAAAATTTTGTATCTGAGACTTTCTTAGCTGATAGATTGAAGAGGCCATTTGTGGGCAAAATAGGTTTGAACTCTGCAGAGGAGACATTTTCTATACATTTTTATTTCTTTCTACAGGCTCTTATAAGATTGGTCATGGTGGAATTCTCTAGGCACTTGATGCCTGGGATGGAGCTACATTATAGATCCCTTTAGATAAGCAAAGAGACAGAAAGAAATGCTAAGAAGTAAAGGATCACATCATATCTGAAAAAGTCTGCTTATTTTATATTTGCAAGACATTATAGCTTGGAAAGAAGCCATCAGAACATTTATTTCATCAACTATTTTCGAAGTTCTGGTTAGATGATAACATTCCATCCAGAGAGAAACAAAAATCCATTCCTTTTTTATAGGCAAATTTAGGCAAATTTATTTCACAAAAAGACCTGATATGCAATCAGACAAAAAAAAATAAATAGAAAGGTGGTTTTTCTTCCCTTTAAGCCAGAAATAGTTAAAAAGAAGCATTGCTACACATGAAGACATACTCACTCCACTGAAGCAACAAATATTTGCAAATGTTAGTATTACTTTTATCCAACAACTGTGATAGGATAAAAGAATTGTATGTGTATGCATTGTAGAGAAGCAAAGAACTATCTCTCTCTTATTTAGATGGAATAGTTCTTGTTGCTCAGGGCAAGATTAAACAATGGTCGACCTAATAATTTCCCTTTGTTTCCACACACATCTAGCATAACACTATGGGCCCTTAAACATGATATTTTATTGTGCAATTGCTCTACACCATTTATAGAGTGATATTGGGGTAGGTTATCTACACTAATATCCTTGAGTTTTCCCATTGTTTCTTTTATCTTTGTTTCCTACCTGAGAACAATCAGTTAATGTTAGAAAGCTAGATTGGGTATCTTCTGTTAGGTAGTTTAATGGGGTCCTCCAACGGTCATTGAAACTATCTTATCCACACTGACACTATAGACACAAGAACAGAAGGTAAATGGCTTGAACAAAAGCTTCTGAGGCTGAGGAATTTCTCTGCAAAAATACCTCCATTTCTAAGATACGTTCAGAGCAGATAATGACAGTGCAATATTCAACCCCATTTGAACCCTGCATTCTTTTTCTCATAGGTTTCTGGGGAGCCACCTCCACCATTGCCCACAACTCCTCCTCCAGAAGATTATTATGAAGAAGCTCTGCCATTGGGCCCAGGCAAAGCTCCTGAGTACATTACATCTCATAGTAAGCCTTAAAGAGAGCCAGCTAAGGAAGGAAACAGCTGGCATTCTGACACTCTCCTATCAGTTAGGAAAATAAAGGCTCCTCCCAGAGGTGTCTGACAGCTGACAGGCTTATAATTGGTATGGGGGGGCAGGCTTTCCTGTTCCTTTCCTGGGTTTTTTCTTCCCTCCCCCCCCCCCTTTGGTTGGTCAGATGTCACAAGCAGTAGTTGTTTGTTCAGACTTGCCTGGAAATGTATAGTAAATCTTGAGTGACAAGAAAGGAAAGGGCCTGCCTGAGAACAATGTCACTCTGTCTCTCCCGTAGCTTGTCTGAGAGATTAGGGGAAGGCAGAAAAAAGGGCCCAACACCTGTTCTTATAATCACTGAGCCCTAGTGAAGCCATTTACAGGCCTAGCAACAAAATCAAGAACATTATAAGATTTCCTGCTGATGCAGCTGACTAATTGCATAAGTGCCATGAGAAACATGAAGAAAGAATAAGATCCTGTTGTAAGGATTCTGGAAAAACCCTCCTACATTAAAGTCACGAAGGAGAGGTTGTTTCGATGTGATTTTGGCTCTGGGACTCAGCCCCCTGGGAACTATGAATGAATGTGAAGAAAGTAGATGGCATACTGAGGTTGTTTAAAGGCAGAGTATGTGCTTTTTAATAATGGTTGCAGTAAAGAAAAGAATGTGAGAATAAGGATCAGAAAGCAGTTGGGAACAGATAATTATGACTTGTACCCAATTAGCTCTATTTTATATTTCTTTTGTGATCTATAGTATCCCTTAAGAGATGGGCAAGTAAAAGCAGACAGAAGATTTGAAGTTATGACATAATTTATCAGTGAGATGGGTGGCACAGAAATTAAATACAAAAAAATTGTCTCAAATTATTGTTAGTCTTTGTGCTGACTTATTGGTAATAAAAACTTGTCTATATCCTTCAGAGTTGACTTACAGTGCAGTTCATATACCTCCCTGCAAAGTCTTTCTCACTGCTTAATTTGTACAATTTAAAATATTCCTTCTGCTTTCTGTATAGACAGCTCCAGTCCTCCCAATTCAATAGAGGATGGATACTATGAGGATGCAGATAGCAACTACCCTGTCACCAGAATAAATGGAGAGCAGAAAAACTCTTGTAAGTAGCACTGCAACTATATGTGTTGTGTACATCTGTTGGGGAAGGGGAATCATCCTGACTGCAGAAGACTCAGGCAGTCAATACAATTTTATGGAAATATTATATGCTTATATCTTTTTGGTTGTTGTTAATGTTGTCACCATTAAGCTACAGTAGCTTTAAGAAGGAAAGCCTCTTCTTATTTCTCTTGTTTTAGTCATAGTCATCTTGGATTTTAGGAAAAGACAAGTCTACTGTACCTCTGTATTTTTTTCTTTCTTGTCCTTCTACCCTTGAATTTCTCTCCCAGCTTCTCCATTATTATTCCAATGCATCCTTAGTGTTATTGGATCTTTCTCCACCACTAAAGAGATTAGCTCTTACATGGAGTTCATTTGAAGTTGACTATTACTAATCACGTGTATTCATTATTTAAAGTTCTTTCTTCCTCACAGTTCTGGAGATTTTGTTATGTATCTAGCACTCTACTTAATCACTGTTAGTAAATCAACCTCTTAATCACTAAATCACATCAGGACATTTCCTTTGTCATTGTCTTTCTTTTGCCTGTTTTGCCTTGTTGATTTAAAGTTTGCCTATGTTCAAAAAAGAAATAAAACCTTGCATGGGAGAGATGTGGAATGGTAAACAGAAAGATTCCTGTGCTATACTTCTTCCAGTTCCAGAATTTAAAATCTAGTATCATTATGTTTTGCTGTGTTTGCAAATTTCTTTAACAGTGCCATAATCCTCTTGTTTTCTTCTTTTTTCATTTATAGCTCTTCTTTCTATCCTTATAGAGAAATTCAGATGGCTTAGAACACACATAGTAAACTATTCAAAACTACTGAAAAAGGTGTATTTTTTTTCTACACATGAGAGTTTGGGAGCCAAATATATTTCTCAAAATAAAGTAGTTTGTATTTTGGAAGCAGCACTCAAGAAGGCTTAACCCAGTGCCTCAAAAAATAAAATAAAGTAGTTTGTATTTTGGAAGCAGCACTCAAGAAGGCTTAACCCAGTGCCTCAAAAAACAGTAGCATTTTTAAAAACGACCTTTTAATGTCCAGACAGGTGGATAGCAGGAGAAGCAACATGGTCTATTTAAGCAAAACCAAACCTGTCCTGTCTTAGGACACCATATTTTGAGGATCTCTAATATGTTGAATAGATTGTAACTGATTTGGAATAAAGAGCCTTTCATATACTCACATATGAGTTTTGAACCCTGACATCTCTGTCCTGATCCACACCCAAATCTGACTCTTTCTAGGGCTGCTGATTACTTGCCTCATCCATACATTGCCTACCTTCTCTGAGACCTCAAGAAGAGATGATGGCTCCTGGCCCACCAACACTTTCAAAATGCCAAGCTAAGCATTGGTTCTACCAAACCATTCTGTCCTTCTGAACCTTCTGAATACCATCACACAGACTTTGGCCCAAAGGAGTTGTGTTGTAGAACACAAATATTAGGAAGAGATGTCTACTTGTCTAATCTCAGGATTATTCCAGACAACTTGATAGCATCCTGGGCTATACAAAAATTGAGGGTACACCAAACAGTGGCTGAATATATCTGGCCAGCTTCCTAATTCACTTGGTTCTTTTGCAGTTATTTTCTTTCCAGTCTTTCCAGCAGCAAGACTACTAACAACTAACTGTTTTCAAATGCTTACAATGGGTAATAATCGTCATAATTTATCATATTTTATATGGTCTTACTCTTTTAAAATCTTCAAGTTTTATATTTTTCTATGATGCAAAAAGGGAATAGATAATATGTTAGGTTAGAAACTGGTGGGTGCTTTTGTAGAATGCAAATTTGATTTCATTTTTTTACATTAAAGAATTTAATAACAATAGTTCTATGAGAGGAGTTTGAAAACAGTAAAAAAGAGCCCAGAGGCACATTTTAGGCAGATATTTATAATACTGAAATTCCAAAATGCCAGTTTGGAAGTTGTTTTGCATGGCAGGTTGCACTTAGCCTCCAACTATTGCAAGACAAGTTTAAATAAAACAGTAGAAATCTTGTAAACTATCAGTATACCAGAAATTAACATGTGATTCTTACTTGCATAACTCTAAAACAGGGGTGTCAAATTCACTGCATTACGTGACATGTCGCGATGTACCTTGACTTTTTCCCTCTTGCCGGAGCTGGGGTGGGCACGGCTTCCTGCTCTAAAACATACTTAGGAGAAGTTAGGAGAAATAGCCTTTCAAGTAGAGATAGTATTCTGTTACATATATTAGGGATGCTGGTGATTCCTCGCAAATCTAGGTAGGATTGGAACCGTTTCATACTGAAATCCTAGAGACTCGTTGTTAGTCAGTGTAGATCAGAGGTAAGCAAATTTCTGGCTTTATTGTGTAACCTTGAGCAACAGTGTAGATACAATTTTTGAAAAACAAATTGAAATCTTGTTAGATCCTATGAGAATTCAGCCACTGCTTTTTCTTTTTTTAAAGAAAAATAATTTACTTTGGAACTCTGTAGATTCAGGTAGTTGCAGGCACCTTGCTGCCTAAGAGCACTGAACTGATGATCTCTAATATAGGTAATACAAAAGTAGATTAACTTGTAGTCTGACTCAGTAAAAATGGTCTCTCTTGTCCTGTGAGATTAGAAGTGACATTATGGAGGATTAAATTCTCCCTGTTTCCCCATAGACAATGACTCTGATGCAATGAGCAGCTCCTATGAATCTTATGATGAGGAGGAAGAGGATGGGAAAGGCCAGAGGTTAACGCACCAATGGCCATCAGAGGAAGCTTCTATGAACCTGGTGAAGGACTGCCGGATTTGTGCTTTCCTGTTGCGTAAGAAGCGCTTTGGACAGTGGGCCAAGCAACTGACAGTCGTTAAGGACAATAAGCTTCTGGTGAGTCAGTGGTTTTTTAGAATACCACAGCCTTTGGAGCAGTGACAGGTCCTTTTGAAGAAGAAAAATTTCTCTCCAAATTACATACTAAAATTAATTTGTCATAGTATCACTGGTTATAATTTAATTCCAAAGGCCTCCAGAAAGAATGATGTTTTCACCTGCTTCTAGAATATCATAAATATGAAGGTCCCCCTTGCTACAGGGAAAAAATATTCCAAAGGAGGGAAGCTATTATCCTGGTGAACAAGGACCCTTAGCAGGCGCTCACTAGATTTTAAGTGGGATATGCAGAAATTGTTGGGAAAAGGCGATCTCTAAGAATAAAAGGATAGGTAACATTTAGATATTGTGCTAATGAAGGTGTGATAAATTTATGCTGCAGATATTGATAGGATTGACAGTAAGGAAACATGCTGGCTATTGTTTTAGAGTCTTCTGATGTACATTGACAAAGGCATTTATTATCTGAGATTTTCTGAAATCCCAGTTTGCAGGCATAAAAGTTTGCAGCATAAAAATCACCAATGTCTTTAGAACTTTGGTATGATACTCTGATTAAAATATCTAACTGTCTTATAAATGGTGGCTTGGTTATTTAAGAAGACATCAGTAGGAATGACGCTGTGCTCAATTTGATACACTTTATCATCCATTCATTGTCTGAGATTCTTCTTGGCTATATCGTACACTATTGTCATTACTGTGCCTAGAGAGGCGATAATGGTACAACTTCTCCTCCAGCCCTTTTCCCCATTTCAAATAAAGAGGTCAGCTAACACAGATGTGGCTAGGTCTACAAGAAAAAAATAACAAGTCTGTACCATAATTTGAAAAGGTTAATTCATGCACTGGCTTTTATTTCAAATAGTCTTCAAATCGTCTTCCTCCCATATAAAGAACAGCACTAGGCACACCAAAGTATTTGAAGAATATTTCTTGGGCATTGAGACTTCCCCTGATGGGGGGGAAAGATGGAGGATTATTCCAAGGGCTTTAATAAAGCATATTACTAATTTTAAATTGTACCCATTGAGTGACCAATTTAGTGCCTAAGTTCTTTCAGTGAACACCATTGTTTTTATAATTAATCTCTAAAGATTGATTGTCAAAGTAGGAAGTAAGAGCACAATATGTTCTTTGTAAACCTACTTGGGTTTTAGGGAGAATTACCACATCACCCATGCAAAGGCATATACCAAGATGAATACAAGCGAATTAATATGTAAATTGAACAATAATGGAAGCAAGATGCAGTTCTACCTAATTCTCCTAAAGTTTGAAATGTTTTTGGTGAGGTACCCTAGGACGTTGCAGTGGATCTTAAATATAAGTTTTGATATCAAAATTACTTCATTTGATGTTGAGAGTAATATATGCCAGAATTTCTTGCTGTCAGATATAATATGTATCTAAAATCAAGAAACACTATAAAATGCAGTTGGGGGATATGTTCTTTTGCCAGATGGTGCAACATAAAGGCTGAGTGTAAAACAGAATGGCCTGGTTGAAAGCCAAATTGTTCTGCCAAAATATTTTCAGATTCCATCCAATCCACTAATCATTCATACAGATTTGCTGACTCTACTAGACAGACTGAAAAGACTCTTAATTTGGTGGCAGCTTTTTCTCACTTTATTGTACATTGGAATTATTATTGCCATCCCCTCATCTTTAAGGATATGCATAATACAGTCAATGAAAGAGAAGAAAAAAGCCAGAATTGGGTTTCTCCACTCCAGGTTGTTCCTGATTACCTTCCCGTAGGTTATATAATAATACTAAGGGACTTTACCAGACTTGACGTTTACCATTCAGAAATGTTTCTGAGCAGGTTACTGATGCCCACTTTAAGGAACAGTCCATGTCCAAATGTACTGGGATAATGGCTTCTTTGTTGCTCTTATATAATGGTCAGGAATGTTCCGCTCAAACTGCTGAAGGAATAAAGCCATCAAATCCATCAAAAAATAAAAAAAAAGATTGCGAGCCTTCTCTTTATGGGGAAGCACAATAATGTCAAAGTCACTGCTGGAACAATCTTGGAATCAGCCAGCCATTCCATCTTGTTTGGACTGAGTCCAGATCTTGGCAGCCTCCATATATCAGGTCCTGATTTCCACTGCATCTCCCAGTGGGTCCAGGGAAGAGAAGTATAGCTGAATATCATCTGCATATTGATGATACCTTATTCTGAACCAATGGATAACCTCTCCTGGTGCATTCACCTAGACATTTTTGATAAAAGCTTTGTTTTTCCCTCTAAGGGATCTATAGGTAGCACTGACTGAAGATGTACTTGTCCAGCTCACCACATACCTCTTTTAAGATGAAAACGAAAAAAATCCAGTCAATATTCTCTAATTGGAATTTATTCTTCAAAGTTCATTATGGACTAGAAAAGCACAGAGTAGGAGAGAGTTTAATTCTTTTGTCATCTAACATTTTCCTGTACCAATACAGTATCCACCTCTTCTTATCCTATTTAGATAAGTATTTGGTCAGGAAGTGGACTAGCTGCTCTACCAAATATACTTTGCTGCTTCCTGATCCCTCTCTGGAAGGATATTTCTTAATTTCTTTCTTTAAAACCACCTGAGAAATTTAACATACATTGATAGTATTTCATGACGTATGTATGTGTCAAACAGAACATCAGATTCATGTAGCAAAATGTTCTGGTTTGAAGGCTGTAATGTTAAGCTTTGGTAATCTTCAAATTTTTCTTCTTTCTCTGACATATGGTATGTAAATCCCAGTCAGCTCCAAATGTTCATCAACACCCTATCCTACTCTTCTGCTTGTTCTTACCACAGGGAGAACAGGCGAGAAATGTGTGCAAGAAAGACTAGCTGAATGAAATCTCAATTGTCCCTTCTTTTTAATGTTAGTGTTACAAAAGCTCCAAGCACAGACAGCCACACCTTGAAGTGCCTTTGAGCATCAGCAATGTTGTCTATGTGCCAAAGGACGGACGCCGGAAGAAGCATGAGCTGCGCTTCTCACTGCCAGGAGCTGAGGTCCTAGTGTTAGCAGTGCAAAGTAAAGAGCAAGCTGAAGAATGGCTGAAGGTATGTCTCGCAACTACAAAAGGCTGTGATTCCTCCGCAAGCCCCTTCTTTTCCTGTGGCTCATATTTTCTACATTTGTTATCCTTTTGTTGATTTGTTTATTTATAACGTCTGGGATATGCTGAGCAATCCTGCCGTGGTTGCTTTTTGATTTGAGCAAATGAGAATGGATCTCCCAGGAAGTGGGATTTATCTTCCCCCTGGGCAAGGGCTTTCTTTCCAGCCCTCTTATCGTGCCTGTCTGATTGCAGCACCAGCTGTGGAGACAATATCCACCCATCAGAGAAGACCTTCCTCACCCGATTTAGAATTGTCTGGCAGGGCAGATGTTTGTTTACCCTCACTCAGTCTTTCCTGCTTTTGTTCTCAAGCATGAGCTCATAAACTCAGTGAATCTCTAGGAAAGGTAGAATTTGCCTTCTTTTCCTGGAGAACCAGTTCCTTCAACTCAGCTTTCTCTAGTGACACCTCTGCCCTCCCCAGGAGTAGCAACCGCAATATACTCAGAGAATGGCAGATTGGAGAAGGCAGATTGCAAAATATGAGCCTGATAGATGTAAAAGTAAGCAAGTCTTTGTGACTAACCACATAACGTGTGGTTAGCCATATGCTGAAGAAATCAGTTTAATAAGTCATGAAGATTTATCAGACTTGGATATGGTTATTGTTGTTTTTGGTAAGTACCTATTCTAGGAAGATAAATGCAATATGATCTAAAAGAAAAAATAATAATTCCCTTGTGGATCTAACAAGTTTAGGACAAGAAAGGAAATCTGTACACATAGAGCCTCCCCATGAAGCACCTAATTTGTGGCTTCTCAGCAGCCCAAGAAATGCATTTTCCTGGGGCAGGATTATTTGGGTTTCGGTATTTTTGCAAACTTGAGGGAAGGAGACAAATTGTTTCCATTTCTACCTAAACTCCACCTTTCTAATCATAGCAGTGTCTTAAAATTATATTACTGAAATTCTGCCATTGAAAATGGAAATATAATGGGGAGGGGGCATTTTTAAAAAATATTTATGGGAATTCTGAAGTAGGACTAGAACAAGTTTGTTTTATAGATGTTGCTTGTTCCTCTTCTACTCTTGATCCTCATTGAGAACTGAGGGGGGGATCAGTGTTCTCTAGAAGATTGGAAAGTCAAATTGTATCCCTAGCCCTTCAAATGCTCCAAAAGGCCTTGGCTATATTAGTAATATATTAGTGAAATATCCACAGTATACTTATAAACAGAGCATAGTGGAAACAGCCTTCTCCTTGTTGTTTTATGTTTAATTTGTATCCCATTATGTGTTCCCAACAAAAGCAATATAATTATTTGGACTGAAATATAACACATGTGGCGGGCAGTGTTTGAGGAAGACTTGTTTAAAATTTTGCTTCCTACTTAATATCTGAGTTAGTGCCATCAGCTGATCACACAGTAACTATTTCTTATGTAGCTTCAAATGCTAACAGCATTTGCCATAGACAGAAGATGTCTACAGAAGGGGTTGGCTGATTCTACTGGCTCAACTTTATACCATAAAAAAGAATCTGCAACATGGGGGCTTGGCTTCTTTGTAATTTGCCCATCTTCACATGGAGAAACATACTCTTTTGGAGATTTCATGGGGCAATTATCTGGGATAAGTTTAATGAAATCTATAAACTAAGTAGTTTATATCAGAACTGCAGGGATGGAAGTCTAATGAGTTGGGGTTTATGTTGTTTTGGCAGAGCAAGTGTTCTTTGGCTTGAGTACTGTCAGGAAGATCAGTGTTAAGTCTTTGTTCTTATATTACTGGCTGAATTTTTTTTGTTATTGTTTTTAGTATTTTCACATCTTGCCTTTAATGCATATATTAGTTAAAGCATTCCCTCCTCTGGCTTGGGATATGAAACTGTTCAGATCCTCCCTTCCTCAGAATGTTAAGTACTCTCCTGGCCCTAGTCCACCTGACACTTCAATGGGCTGGATAAATCCAACTTTCTTTTGAAAAACCACCTCCCTGAATTAAAATACCTGATAACCAAGTCAATTAGGGTTGTTTTGGGATCAGAGAATAACCCAGCGTGAATGAGATAGAGCAGGAACTGGATGCACTTCCTGCCTTATAAGGAAAAGGCTACTGCCCTGTATTGTCAGCTCTTATCTCCTTAAAACATGTGTCAACATTCTCTGCTGAAATATTAGAGAAACTGGGAGTGGAAAGAATAAAAATCAGCAAAACCTAGTTAATGAATGAGCTATTGAATGAACTTTATAATTTCGTCTCCTTTTACCGGTATGTTAGGAGGCATAAGAAAAAACATCTTTAGTTAGGACCTGTTAGCCAAATGATATTCTTAGGCATGAAACTGATGTCAGTTTAACATAACAATCAGAAATAGCTGACATTAGAAACTAATTCTCCAAACAAGCTGAAAAAGTAGATGTTGATTTGTCTTTTTCAACCTGATGCTGATCATGTGCTGGGTTCCTAATTTCCAGAATTCCTAGCTAGGAGTGGTCCCAAATTATCTGGAGGACACTAGTTTTTAGAAGGCTTGTATATATTAATTTCTGTTCCTCAAAAATTGATCACATTTTTATTCCTCAAATTTGATAAATGTTGATCATAATTCATAGCTCCTGGATTAAGATTTGGCTTTTCAGTTGCTAACCTTTGATCCCAGACAGAGTTTGCTGTATTCCTTTGTAAGGCAAGGAAACCTGGACGGCATTTTTGTACTTGGGAAAATGCAAGAGTTTGAAATGAAGTGAGCTTTTTATTATAACAGAGGTGTATCCAGTGGTGGGATTCAAATATGTGAACAACTGGTTCTCTGTGTGGATGCCTTTTCTAGAAGTCCATTCAGGGCCTGGGCAACAAAAAATTAGCTACCAGTTCTGCCGAAGTTGTGAGAACCGGCTGAATCCCACCACTGGGTGTATTCCTGTTTTCAGAATGGTGGAATTAACTACTGTCATTCTAAACTCTATCTCCTGCCCAGGTGATAAAGGAAGTAAGCAATCCCACTGGAGGAGGACTAAATGGAAGTGAAGTTCCTCTATCTCCTACACTTACCTACAAGATGGACCATGATAAGGTAAAATTCCCTAAACTTCTGTTCCCAGGACAAGCTGGACATCATGCACATAAGATTTATACTGTTCAAGTGTACTTTTCCACATAGAACTAGCAAGTGGAAGAGGGTAGAATTTAACCCTTTTTTATCTGTTGTGATCCTACACTTAAACAATACCCCATATGCAAAAGAAAAGGCTGCATCCTGGTGCAAGTAGCAGCTGGAGGAGGAGATTTTCATTGGAATCAGAAAAATTCTATTTATAGGTAGTCCTCAAATTATGACTATAATTGAGCTCAGAATTAAGGTTATGAGTTGTATTGGTCATTAAGCAGGTCACTATGTGACCACGCCCAATTTTACAACCTTTGTTTGCTATGATAGTTAAGTAATCAGTGTGGTTGTTAAGTGAACACAGTGGTTGTTAAGTTAATCCATTGTCCATAATAGGCATTTTTTGCTGGAAACTGGAAGTAAATGCTGGTTTGGGGCAAAAATGTTGTAAATTGCGATCAGATGACTGCAGGACAGGGTAAATAGCCATAAATGTGAGCCAGTTGCTGAACACCCAAAATGCAATCACATGACTGTGATGATGGGGGGCGGATTGCTGTTGGGATTTCCAATCTGGTCATGAGTAGCCCTGTGGAGAGGTCTATTGTAACTTCAAATAATCGCTAATCAACTGGTCATAAGTCGAGAACTATCTGTAATTGCATTACATTCTTTATCTGCCCATCCCCTTTTGGAATGCTTTCCTAGCACCCCTCCAGTGCCAAGAGTGGTTCTCAGTCTACTCTAAATAAACTATGCAATCTTTATCTCAGAGCTGTAAGACCAGCATGAGGCCCACTTATAAAGGAGACACCTGGCTCTGATATGAGGATTTTGGAAGAAGGTAACTAATCTTCCCTGAGAGAGCATAAAGCAAACTCTTAAAAAAAAATCAGTTCTTAAGTATCCAACAGCAACACAGCGGATGGAAATGACTATTTTTTGTCTGTTGGTTAATCAAAGTATGCTGCTCTTCAAAACTAACTTTTCCCAGAATGACTTACAAGTGTGTATTTTCAAAGTAAAGAGCATTTGAGTGCTATTTTGGATAGCAACCAAGATCACTTTCTTCAATGAGCTTTGCTCAGTGAAGGCAATTAATCTATAAGCAATTTGAGCCCGGAGAGAAGCCCTGGAGAAAATAAAACACTGACAACCCCTGGATGTATGTTCTTCTTTGACCAGAAGTCATCTCAGGATAAACATACTTCTGACTCGGACAGCATTGCAACGGCAGAAAATGGTTCTTCTTTACCCCAAAGAGAGAGCCATGAACAAGGTGAGTCTGATATTTTCCCACTTTATAAGAGAGAAAAAATTGAGAATTAGAGCACATACAGTATGACTTACTATAGTGACTAATGTTGATAATATTACCTAGTTTGGGTAATGAAATGTCTGCAAGAAAACAAGGTCAAAGAGCACCAAGCACCCCTCATTTCAACTCTGAGCTAGTCTCCTTTATTGATATCCTTTATTCTCCTTTATTGATATTACAGAGATATAATTTAAAATCTATCCAGTGTTTCTAAGAATTCATTAGTAAAAGATAATTTCAATAAGCTTAATCTATTCTAGTTAATTACTTGATCCATTCTAGTTTATCCACCTGGGAGTTACTCCTTTTTTTACTCAGGATTTTTCCCTTCAGCCCAACTCTAGGTGAACTAGAAGGGATATAGTTTTGAATCTTCCTGTCCAAAGCCCAGATACACAAAAACTACAAATAGACAAATCCTAAAACACAAGAGGTAACTGGGTAATTGTGCCCTATTATAATCAACAAATATTTTAAATGAAAAAAATTAATCAGACAATCCCTTCAATGATGCCAAATAGACATAAAAAGAGTTTGCTGAGAAAAAGAAATGTAAGGAAAACAAAGGAAGGGAATCACACAGAAATCCATGTAGAAGCAGTACAGTCTTGTACCTGTTTTGAAATTTTTTGTAGCAAAGATCCTAAAATGACCTAAGCTTAAAGGATATATACAAAACAGATGTTTTCCTAAACTGTTTCTGTCAAACAATCGCCTTTAAATCAGCTTTTAAGAAGCCCACTTTTTCGGTACTCCTAAAATTTATCTCTGGTCCTTTCTTTATCACCATTAAATGAAGCACATCATGAAACTATCACCAACTTATAAATCTGTAGTTTCACATGCACCTACAACAATCTAGATAACACCAGTTCATACTATATATAAAACATACATTTTACTCCTTTTGTTCCTAATTAAACCTACACGCTTTTACTTCCATCAGCTCAGCTCCGCAAAATCCAACACCTTCATCCAGACCAATCAGACCTTTCATTATTTTTTTTCATTTGACAAATATAAAATATGTGAGTGGCTATCCTGCAACATACTGTTGCCCATTTTTCACCTTGAAAGTAAAACGAAGCAAATACTTTTTTAAAAGATAGAAGTTGAAAACCAAGATTATTTTTTAAAAATAGAAAAACAATTAAGAGGCAAAAGCATATGATCCCAGAATACTATTTATTTGATAAATGCAGAGATATTCTCTAGATAACTATGGAGGATGGGAGGAAAACCTTTAATCTATTCATGAATTTTTGCTGGCTCAGATAAGTCACATGCAAATTCCGTGTTCTGTTCCTTCTCCAAGGGAAAAGCAAAAAAAGTGGCTTGGCTGAGCTAAAGGGCTCTGTGAGTAGAGCTGCTGGGAGGAAAATAACCAGGATAATCAGTTTCTCAAAGAAAAAGGCTTCCCCTGAAGATACCCAAACATCCTCTACAGAAGAAGACATCCCATGCTGTGGTTTGTATTAGGATATGAGTAGGAGCACATTTAAGAGGGAATCAGTCATTGGGTAAATGGGGGGGGGAGTAGGGATAGAAATGCTATCTCAGCTATTTCTTTGCATTGCACGTAGATAATAAAAGTGACAGATAAATGCACACTCATTTCTTCATAAAGTTGTTATAGTAATCTCATGCATGCCTGGGATAATTCCTCCCCCCACTTTCCATGTTCATAAAACAATAAAATAGTTATAACTATTTTGCAAGACCTTGCTGCTGACATCTACGTATTCTGATTGGTTCAATCCAAGGGTTTTACGAAACTACATCGTTTCTCTTATTTTAAGATGTATAGCAAATCATTTAGAGCAAAGGGGATGCTATTCCAAATTCATGCTATACAGTATATATGTAAAAAAAAATAGAGACGTATGTACTCAGGAAAAATATCTCATTGATAATAATGCTGGGAAGGGGAAACGTGTAACTATCCGGATGTTGTTTAAATCCAAGTGTCCAACTCCAGTGTTAAGAGTCAATTACATCTGGACAGCTTCAGGTTTCCCCTCCTTTAGTCTGAAGTAATTTTCGATTTGGGAACCAACTGCATCATATCTAAGTGCAACGTTTTCTGATAGCCTAGGAAATAATCTCTGAAAGTTTAAATATCTCTCTCTCCCTCCCTCCCTCCCTCCCCCTCTCCCTCTCCCTCTCCCCCCCCCCCACCTCTCTCTCTTATGTTGGACATTGCACTAGTGCTGATCTTCTTTTATATTTCCTGGCAGGCTACTTGCATGTTCTTGTTAACCAGTGTTGGAAGGAACGTTGGTGTCGTTTAAAAGGCAACATGCTTTATTTCCACAAGGACCGCACAGATTTAAGGACCCATGTGAATGCCATTGTCCTGCGGGGATGTGAGGTGGCACCAGGACTGGGCCCCAAGCATCCCTTTGCTTTTCGTATCCTTCGCAATGGACAGGAAGTCTCTGCCTTAGAGGTAAAGGAGCTTTCAGTTTTCTTAAATAATAAGAATGCTTTTATTTACACCTGTACACATGTGCATTTAGGAGGGATATTTCACTGTGTAGGTTCAGTGTTTTCATACCCTGTGATCCATCATAGTTTATTTTTACTTTGATTTGTGGAATAAGCTACAGCAAATGGCCATATTGCACTAATTATTTCTTGTTGGATTCACACAATACACTAAGTACACTAAACCAAAACCAGACAAATGATTTAGCATGTTATTGAATCTATTCACTGCATCCAGTAGAAATAAATAAATGGAGATGGTCTTTATTTGATTAGGTAGTACTGCTATAAAGGTATATTCTTACCTTACTTACTTGCAGGAAGAAAATATTCCCCCATTGCTTCCCAAGAAATATTTATGATTTTACTTTTATATATCATCTACTCATTTAGGCAAACAGCTATGAAGATTTGGGACGTTGGCTTGGATTGCTGCTGGTTGAAACTGGTTCCAAGACCACTCCAGAGGCCTTGCATTATGATTATGTAGATGTTGAGAAAATAGCCAACATAATCAATGCTGTGAGATACTCTTATATGTAAGAGCTCCTCTTACTAATATATTTGTGACTTAGCTAAACTGACGAGGGATTCTGTATCTACCTCTGCAGATTGCTTTCATGGCTTTCTCCTGGTCAGTGACAATAATAAATTTCCTGGTATCTCTTAAAATATTTTTGAATTTAAGTGACAAATGGACAAACATGGAATATATAGGCCTTTTAGACTACAAATATAGTGATGAGAAGATGCAAAGCTAATGGTCTCCACAGCTGAGTTCTTTTCCTCTTCTTTGAATCAGCAGAACATTATTCTAGTGTGACATTTGATGTTACCTCTTTTTCCAGTCAATGCTAGTTACTTTTGATGTTCATTCATGGTAATGAATGCCTAGCAGATTTTAGCTTGCCTTGAGGCTGCCCTTGGGTGGTGTTGGAATTGGGGGGATGGGATGGGGGTAGGGAATGTTGCTTTAGCATTGCTAAAACGAATGACTTAAGCCAATCTTACTCATGGGCTGGAGATAGAATGAATGCAACATCATGGGAGCATGATGCAACAGATTGCTAACTAGGTCATCTGTGACATGGTTAGTAAGAAACAGCCTAATGCAGATAAATTCATATTCATAATATTTGACTTACTCTTTGATTCTTAAAAGTAAGCTACAAAGCTACATTGCCAAAGAAAGGTTTTGGACTGTTTGTACCTAGAAAAAAATAACTGTATACTACTCTCTAATGTATGAAGTATATAGATACAAATAGTCCTCAATTTATGACGAGTCATTAAATAACCATTCAAAGTTGTTGCAGTCTAGGAAAGAACGTTTTACAGTTCACAAAACATGAAAAACAATAAACTATCCCCCACACCTCCCCACAATAATGTGACTGCATGTCAGGCACTTGGCAACTAACTAGGACCTGTTGCCAGGTACCCCATGATCATGTGACTGCCATTTGCAATCTTTATCTGCTGACTTCCCCAGAAAATCAATGGGGAAGCCAGCAGGGAAGGTTGCAAGTGGAGGTTACATAAGGGAGGGGATATCCTTCAACAGATGGCAGAAAAGGAATTGAAATATTCAGAATTTCAATTCCATTCCTGTAGCCCCCCTCCCCAAAAAGGATTTTCCTTCTGTGAAAACAGGGGAGGGAAAATCCTTCAGCATTTTGCAGGAATGTTTGAGAGCAAAAGAGATGCTTTCTGGGAGGATTTCAGCTCATGAGAGTTGAACTCCTCTCAGCAGGCTGCTCTTTGGCTGTGTTTTGATTTAGTTTGATGTATCAAGTCCTTATATAACAGCAAACCCAGATTTTTCATAGGGAGAGGTATCCCAAGGGATCCTATCTCTACTTTGGATGTACACTTTACATTTTTTATGTTTTATATATTTGTGCCCTCCAGAAATGCTGGCTTGTATCAATTCCACTCCTATAAACAACAGTTACAGGGATTCAACCTTGATGCAGCTAAAAAGTCTGAATAAAGAAAATCTGCATGATATTTTATATGATATATCAGACATGTCAAACACAAGGCCCAGGGGCCAGATGCGGCCCATGAAGTGGTTTCATGTGGCCTGTGAAGCCATCCTGGAAACAGTGAGGGAATGGCCCCCACTGCCTTGGCCCTGGCCCAGGCCGGCCAGGAGCCAATGTACGATTTTGTGGTGGCCATCTATGCTGAAACGCATTCAGTTTTAGCGTCCAGAAACAGCAAGGAACCAGCCCCTGCCGCATTGGCCCCGCCCCCTGGGTGCATGCTGGGGAGGTGTCACCCTTTGTGAGGAATGAAGAAATGCACCATGCCTTGGCGCTTGCCCCAGTCCCACCCCTTTCTGCCAGAAAGCCTCAGATCTGTTCCACTCCTGCCCAGGCCCCCACAGGCACCCTTGATGAGAACGATGTAGAGCTGGCCATGCCCACCCAGTAGCCACACCCACTCCATGCCCACCCAGTAGGCCGCACCCACCCTGGCCACACCCACCCGGCCCCCAAGGGAAACCGCAATGCTGATGCGGCCCTCAATGAAATTGAGTTTGACACCCCTGTGATATATCCTCAAGAATCAAAAGCTAATTATCTCCTCCACTTTGGGGGGGTTTCCACTTTTTAAAAGGCATATTCTCTCCTGCTTTACCAAAAATACTAGCTTTGGCTAAATACAGTAAGATGTGACATTTGTCAGTGAATTCCAGAAAAGTGTTTGGATTCAGTTAACAGAGGGTGGAGAAAGAACCCAATCTTCTTTGCTTATTAAGTACTTGCTTAGAAAAATTAAAGCTTCTTTTACTCTATTTCTTCCTCCTCAGGTGGGCCAGTTCCTCTCTTGATAACCAAACAGAGCCAACTCGTGTATTATATGATGAAGTCCCCTACGAGAAAGTGGAGGTAGTTTATAAAAAGCAAAAATATTACCCTATTTCCTTTCTTCTTTTTAATTTCCATGACATCACTATTCTTCCAGCTTGCATGTGACCCTCCCTTCCCAGTTGCTTGGCAACTTGTGGGGGGGAACTGTTCCCAGGCAGAAATACTAGGATAAACTATTTCTATAGTCTAGGGAAAAAACTGGATTTCTTACAGATACCCTTCTTGATAATGATCTTCATGATATCACGATTGTTTTTGCTCTCTCTTTCCTTTGTGCAGTCAGAAAAATCAGGGTGGTCATCAGGATCCCAGGTGAAGCGGCATGGCTCTTCCTGCAGTGAAAAATCACGTCGTATAGATCCACAAGTTAAAGTCAAGCGTCATGCATCAAGTAGGTTGGATGGGATTCATCTGTCATATTTGGCATTATGCCTTGGATCAACCAACTAAGAAAGAGGGAATGGGGGGTGGGGGAGTGGGATTCATCAGGAACTCCCATTCTTAAAAATAAAAAGAAATCCAGTTGCATAGGATAAAATATCGAGGCATAAATTTATTCCTTGTTTGATGTTTCTGCTTTTGTCAAAGTTTTGATTGCATATGACTTGCATGCTGCTTCTTAATGAATAAGGATTGCTTACATCAGGGATCCCCAACCCCCAGTTTGTGGACCGGCACAGGTCCACGGCATGCCAGAAACCGGTCTGCACAAACAAGCGAAGCCCCACCCACAGGAGGCAGGCAGCATACGAAACCATGCTTCCTCCAGTCTGCAGAAAAACCTCTCTCCACGGAACTGGTCCCTGGTGCCCAAAAGGTTGGGGGCCACTGGCTTACATCTCTGATAATGCAAGATTCCCAATTTGCAGCACTGGGCCAACTTCCTTATGAATTTAAGCAAACACCGCTACTATCTTTTCCTTTTTATAGTGTTTCCTTCTTACTTGGGATATAGGCTTGAAATAGGAAAGTGTGAATGAAAGTTCCCAATTTCTTTTTGCAATTTCTTATGATGCTGTAAGAATGCTGGGCAGAGTCCACCTGGGATTCCTGTGCTGCAATGTGATCTTCTGAAATTTGGTCTATGAGAACGGTCTGCTGCCATAAACATTTTCCTAATAGCTGTAAATCATTTTATAAAGGATGCTAGGCTAGGCTACAGTTGTAACAAGCTCATTAGTAATTCATTTATCAAGTGCTAGAAATATCAGTAATAAGCAATTTCCAGAAAACAATAAGAGAACTATGTTGGAAGTATGGAAATTACTGATGACACCTTTGGTTTGGTTTGAGTCTTTTAAGGGGGAATTGTGTCTCTTTGAGCCTCAGCCTCATTCACTTCTTTGCTGCCAAAAAAGAGCTAGACACACTAATCCCCTCAAGAACATACCTATTGTGTGTGTATGTTTGTGCAGATGCCAATAATTACAAGTATGGAAAGAACCGGGCTGAGGAAGATGCTCGGAGGTTCCTAACAGAGAAAGACAAGCTGGAAAAGGAGAAGGCGTCCATTAGAAATGAGCTTATTGAGCTGCGTAAGGAAAAGCGGGAACTACGGGAGGCCATGAAGAGCAAATCAGGTACAGACCTACTTCAAAGGCAGTGAAGCAGTGCCTTTTCTATTGTCCACATTATAAAAGCTTGATATTTCAAAAGTCAAGGTTCAATAGGCTTATGGAGATGGGTTTTTTTGTTCAATATTTTTGTTCAATATGTAAATAGGATCTACATCTAAGTCTCCTCCCCTGGCTTCTGGAAGATTTTCTTCATTATCAGCTGGCAGACATTTCTATTTGAAACATAGCATCCGACCTGCTATGACCTCCCCAAAAATCTTTGACACCCTCACTTTGAGGGATGAATGAGTTAGATTCACTATGACAGTCTAACTATTGATAAAGAAGAAAAGGTGTCAGGAGATTCCTGCAAAAGATTACAGGTAGTCCTTGGGTTACAATCATTTCTTCAGCAACCATTCAAAGTTATGACAGGGACTTACAAAGGCATCTCACAGTTCCAGGTATTACAACATCCCTGTGGTCCTAAGATAGCAATTTCTGATGTTCTCTGCTGGCTTCCCACAAGCAGAGTCAATGGGAAAGCCAGCAGGAAGTTGAAAATCATGATCATGTAAAGTCCCCACTTAATGACCCACACAGTCCTTGCTTAACAATGGCTAACCAAGTTCCCAACCCCAACTGCCCTCGTAACCTGAGCTCTACCTCTGCCTCCACATTGTTCAAAGGTAGAGCATGTTTTGCATCTTGTTCCTTCCCATTTAATGCTAGATCTATTGCTAAAGTCTCTTCAGTCTGCCAAATCCACACAGCTTCCAACTGATCACTGAAACGATTCCTGCCTTGCAGAGATGAAAGCTCAGGTGTTCCACCTACTGGAAAAACTATGCTTTTTATAAAAAAATGTCAACACTATTATCTGAAAGCTTGGAACGTAAAGGATAGTAAAATCTTATATAGGTAATTCTCGACTTACGACCACAATTGAGCCCAAAATTTCTGTTGCTAAGCAAGACATTTGTTAAGTGAATTTTGTCCTATTTTTAGACATTCCTTGTCACTGTTAAGTAAATCACTGCAGTTGTCAAGTTAGTAACACAGTTGTTAAGTGAATCTGGCTTCCCTATTGGCCCACAATGTCTTAAAAGGTCACAAAAGGTGATCACATGACCCTGGGACATTGCTATCGTCATAAATATGAATCAGTTGCCAAGCATCTGAATTTGATCATGTGACCATGGGGATGCTACAACGGTTGTAAGTGTGAAAAACAGTCATAAGTCACTTTTTTCAGTACTGTTGTAACTTCAAACCATCACTAAATGAACTATTAAGTCAAGGACTACCTCTTCCTTAGTTCTTTCCAGGGCACTTCTATGCTAGTATTGCTATTGCTAATTTCAAATTGCACATTAATGAATATAGCATCATGTCTGTTGTGATTATACCAGTGCCACATCTCAAACTACTTGTAATAATAGAAAGATATGGAGAATTTGAAAGAGGTTGCATGTATAGGAGGACTGGATATCTCAAAGCATAAATATAATGCAGAAAGCCAATGTATGGACTTTTTGAAACTCTTTAAAAATATACCATATTTTTCTGTGTATAAGACGCTATTTTTTCCTGCAAACACCCTGTTCAAAAATCAGGTGCATCATATACAAGTGTAACGTCTTATACACAGAAAAATAATGGTAACCTCCGCAACCCAGGGCATGCCTGTGTGGGTTGCCATGCCACCTGGTGCAGGTGTCAAGCCCCTGTGGGCTTGCCACTAATGGGAGGGGGAGGGGGCAAGATCTTCTGCTGGCCGAACTTCTGGATTTGCCGGCTCAGCTGTTCAGCGCTCTGCCGAACAGCTAATCAGCGTGGAGAAACTCGCATGCCAGAGCGTCTTATACAAGGGTGCATCTTATAGACAGAAAAATACGGTATATAAAATGTGGGTGCCCTGTGCAGATTTTAAAATAAAAGATTGCATGGTTATTCTCAGTGTTCTAGGCCAGTGGTGACGAACCTATGGCACGGGTGCCAGAGGCGCACTCAGAGCCCTCTCTGTGGGCACACGCGCCATCACCCAAATCCTAGGCCTTCAGCTGGGTTTCTAAAACCTTTTCACTTTAGGCCTCTGCCGCCGTGTGCAAAAAAAAAAAAAAAAAAAAGATTCAATCAGTCAATTTCAACTTCTCGCGGGAAAAAAAAAGATCTTGCAAAGTTGGAATTGATTGATTGAACATTTTAGTCCCACCCAGTCTGCTGTTACCACTGCAGCCACGCCCACCCAATGGGCCACATCCAGCCAATGGGCCACACCTACCCGGCACCCAACGATGCATAACGGGTTTTGGGTTGCAGTTCGGGCACTCGGTCTCTAAAAGGTTTGCCATCACTGTATTAGGCTGAGAAATGATCACAGATCTTGTCACAGAATTAGAATAAAAGACACCCATAATTTAATACCTCTCATCCAAGTTCAGTAAAAGATGAAGAAAAAAAATATACCCCCTACATCCACTATAAACACACATCCCTAGAACACCTTTTTAAAAAGCTAGCATGAAATGAAGTAGGATAAAGGGGGACAAATAACACCAGGAAAATACAACCACAAACTATTTTCCTAGAACAAGTGTAAAGTAAACAATCAACAAAGTTATTAATCTATTTTTTCAGCTCTTATTATCAATGTGACAAAAAATAAATTTCATTTTTATTTCCATGTAGTATTGTAGTCCTTAGTCTTCTTTATTCTTTCTTGCTTCTTCTAAGTTTAAAACCACATGTATTACTGGGCTCACTTAGAAGCAAGGGATTAAACGGAACATCTAGCCCAATATTCTGTTGGGCCCAGGAAATTCAGAGGTAGAAATTAAATGGAGTAGATTTATCCTCGGGGAAATGGAGAACAAATTTTGACCAGGGGGCTGGACTAGAAGACTTCCAAGGTCGCTTCCCGCTCTGTTCTATTCTATTTATTATTTATTACTTATATTCTAACTTCAAAATAGACCATTTCTTTATAGTATGATTTTTCTACATAAATCATACTATTCACAGTTGTCTGTTATTATTGAACTTTGTTAGGTTCACTGGAGAACCATTTTGGAAAGACATATGAACTTTGGATTCTACATAGTTTCAATAGTTTCATTCAGGTTTTGCTCATGTACGTTACCCTGTGGTAAGATGTGCAGCAAACAAACTTAATAAATAAACGTATCCGTGTTGGTAACAGGGAAAGAACTGAAGGAGCTGGAGCAGCGTGTTGCAGCCTTAGAGGAGCAGTGCAAAACCAATGAGGCACGACGGGTGGACCTGGAGCTCAAACTGACCGCAGTGAAAGACCAGTTGAAGCAGTCACTAGCAGGAGGGCCAGCCCTGGGGCTAACTGTAAACACAAAGACTGAAAACAAGGTAAAGAAGTAGCTACTTGCTTTTCCAACCTCACATTACAAGCCATTTCAACATTAGTAACCTACATAAGGACAAAACAAAAATGATGACAGTCATGAAAATCCTACAGCTGTTTGTTTTACAAAGGCAAATATTTGAAAGAACATGCATTCTTGTGTCATTTTGTATGTTGAAATAAATCCATTGTATCCAACTTCATAATTTAATGTTTAACTGTGCACTTACTGTGCATCAATAAAACTAAAGCGCCTTTAGATTCTGAGTACACCGTCTTTCCACTAAAGGAGAAACAAAAGGCATGTTGTGAGTTTATAAGTGTGAATAACTCTGTTTTGTATCATTTCCTACAACCCTTAGCAGCAAATGTACACTCTATTTTGCCAGGGTTTATATTTTACTGAATATTTTTTAATCTACAAGTTTCTGCTGTAGGCACCTGCCTTTGTTACAGCACGTTTAGTGAGACACATTGCAAGAAGTTTGAAGAAGACATAGTGTAGATGTGGGTCTTCTCTCTTCATACACTGCCCCTGCATGTTCAGTCGAAATTGTTGCAAGGTGGTATTGCCCTCTGAACTTTCAGGAGAAGCAACATCTTGGATGACTTTGATTTTCTCAGGCATCTCTCTGGAAGAGGGAGGTTAGCTGACCCTTGGGGAAGTACGCAGAAGCCACAATAATTGAAACTAGAGATACCATTTTAGGGTGCTTATAGAGAGGATAAGCCAAGATATTCCATGGTAGAAAGGCATCCAGGAAAGTGCCACTGGCTTGTTAGAAGAGCAAACATGGGACAAGATATCAAGACATCCTTCAGTATCATAGAGATAGTGATTGCACAAAGAGCAAAAATTATCCTTTTCATGTCACCCCTTTATTTGTTTCAGAGAAAGAAGGTATCCTTTTTTAGGGGAGTCAAGGAATAATGATCATACACTACTAAATATAAAGCACATAATTGTAAAATCATAACAGCTTATTAATGACATTCATTTAATAAATCTTTGCATAATATGGGAAAACAATTTTTTTTGTGATGTTGAAAATTTAAAAAAAGCAGGTGTCAGACAAACCTCCCTAAGGAGACCATTCCAAAGATAGTTTAACCTAGGACATCCTAACTGAGAAGGCTGTCCCTACTCACCAGGCCTTTAAAGATAGAGACAGCTTTTGTCACTGGCCGATTTATGTTGGAGAAGGCAGTTCTTTCCATTCCTAATTTTCTTCACATAAACAGTGCCTAGGGAGTAGCTCCTTGGAATAATAAGCATGTGTCTTCTTCCAGTCTTAACAAAGTTTGCCAAATATTTTGAGATTAAAACATTCTGATCCTGAACATTCCCCAGAGATTAGAACAGCCTGGCTGGATCTCATCCAGTGTGGAACAAGCTGTTCCAAGGTCATCATGGCATTCCATTTTGACTTTGAAATGGCACACCTACTGTATATGGCAATGATGGCGAACCTTTTAGAGACCAAGTGCCCAAACTGCAACCCAAAACCCACTTATGTATCATCGGGTGCCGGGTGGGCATGGCCCATTGGGTGGGCATGGCCAATTGGTGGGCATGGCTGCAGTAGTAATGGCAGACTGGGTGGGACTAAAAAGTTCAATCAATCAATTCCAACTTTGCGATATCTTTTTTTTCCCGCGAGAAGTTGAAATTGATTGATTGATTGAACCTTTTTTTTTTGCACATGGTGGTGGAGGCCTAAAGCAAAAAGGTTTTATAAACCCAGCTGAAGGCCTAGGACTCGGGCGATGGCGTGCGTGCCCACCGAGAGGGCTCTGAGTGCCACCTGTGGCACGTGTGCCATAGGTTCGCCACCATGGGTATATGGCCTTAACTATTTTTCATATTACTTGCCTTTTTACAGGACACTGTTACTCAGCCAAATGGAAACCCCCCAGAGAATTTGGTCCCAGTTAACTGTGCATCAGAAATGAGGAAGCGAAGCCCCTCTCTCCTTCCTGCCAACAAAGGGACTGTGTTGCAAAAAGCAAAGGTATGGAGTCCATCTTCATACAAGAATACCAGCCCTTTCCTTCTCCATAAATTCGAAGACCTTCTATTATATCCCTTTCACATAATCTACTGCTTCCAACTGGTTTATAACTAGCCTATTCTGTGGTCCCTATCCCACTACTGCCTTGAATATATTGGGAAATGGGCAGTGGTGGGGTTCAAATATATGAACAACTGGTTCTCTGGATAGATGCCCTTCCGGAAGTCCACTATGGGCCTGGGCAACAAAAAAATTAGCTACTGGTTCTGCTGAACTGGTGTGAACCGGCTGAATCCCACCACTGGAAATGAGCACATAAAATGGCTTCCTTCACCTTCTCTTTTTCTCAAGAATAATTTCTCAACTTGCCTCCAGCAATGCTGGCCACAATTAGTAGAGAATTTAGATAAAGGACCAAGGATTAACCTTCCTCCAGCCATGTTAAGTGTGTTATGTCTGTGAAGAGATTGGAGAGTAGGTGTGCAAGCTGCCCTCTTTTGCCCACACCCAAAAATAGCCTAAATTTGGGTCTAGAGGGGCTAAGCAGGGTGGTGTTGTTTCAGCTTCTCCACCCTCAGTGTTTCTGATTTAATGGTCTTAGAATGATTCCAACAAGCAGGTTACTGCACTGCCAGTTTTTTTGGCCTAGTTACAAACCTGCTCATTGGTATAGTCAAAGCCATTCACACCATAACACCGTGAGGCTATTGTCTCAGGCAACTGTTGCTAGACAGCTGGGTGCACCAACTTGCCTTCTTTTGAAAAGAAATTCAGATTATAGATCCTGTCAGCTCTACACATCAAATGGAAGGATGCCATCTTGCCTTTTGCCCATAGTGCAGCAAAGTTAGGGCCAGTCCTGTCAAGAGAGTGATGACTTTTTGTGGCAAGGCAAAAATATATTATCTCTTTATAGAGATATGACATTTCTATAATAGAAAATATATAGTAAATATTTGATCACAAATTTTGGTGAGAATGCTATTGGTGAAAAAGCAAGTTACAAAAGGCCCTAAAGAACTCCTCAGCAGCATCCAAAGGATATTTGAAGAACAATATTTATCTTGGGTACATAACTGTGCCTCACTAAAATTTTGCCCCATTATGAAAGTTCAACTACTAGACCCAAGATATCTATTCTGGCTTCAGGACTCAATTTCCTCATTCCTTTCTTCAATTTATTCAAGTTTGGATATCTCGTTTGTAACTCCGTGGCCACAATGTTGCTTTTTTTCTTTTTTCTAGGAATGGGAAATGAAGAAAACATAAAGGATCTCTGGACCTTCATCCCTGAGATGAACTCCTCTCAAGTACAGGGACACTCTTGAGAAAGGCTAAAGCACCACAAAAGTCTTTCACCCTGCAAAGAAATTGCAGAATACTGAGGAACTTGGTTCCTCCACAGTGAGAGCAACCAACTTCCACTAAATGAAGGATTAACAAACAGAAGAGCTTTTGAAAACTGGCGTGGGTAACAGAGGGAGGGGGACTTTGGGAAACAGGGTGGGGGAAGAGAAATCTTTTCAAGGATTTGTTTGTTGTGTCTGTGTCCTTAGAGTACTCTTTGTTGAGTGGCCTAAGAGGAGCAACTCAGTAGGGTTGGCCTGCCAAGCATCAGGACTGATCCTTTTGCTATTGGTAATAAAGCAACCAGAGTATAGATATTTTAATGATGGGGATGATGGTGGTGGTGGTGGTGGTGGTGGTGAATTTCTTCGGAGATCCTCATTCAAAAAAAAAAAATCATCTAAAACCTTGAACAAATCTTGTTGCAACTTCTCACACACAGGAAACCAGATGAATATCGCTCAGTGCTAGGAAATGAGGCATGACATGGAAGTGCCTTAATCAGTCCTCTTGGAGGATATTATTTAAGCCCCCCCCCCAATTCTGTCAGCCTGATTCAAATCTCATATTTTTCTGTCAAACCATATCAGGGCAGCAACTGTTGAGTAATGAGGGCACAATAGAGTCCCAAAGAGAAGACCTAGTCAGAATGATGTTTTTAACTCAGGACTGCCAATTAGGAATATTCTCTCTCTCTCTCTCTCTCTCTCTCTCTCTCTCTCTCTCTCTCTCTCACACACACACACACACACACACACACACACACACACACAGGCTGCTATTTAAGATGTTCAATGTGTTAAATAAGATCAGTAATGGTAAGAGGACATGGAAAGTTTTCTGGGTTTGATTTAGTTTTACCCAGGACAGATTATGTCATTCTGCCTCAACTATTTGTACAATACCCCCTTCCATTTTTTCTATGTAATCCAATTTGTAATGAGAAAGAAAAGTGAAAAAATTGATGGCTATAGCAAGAAAATCAGCTTCTGCAAATGTATATAAATTGCTCCAGAGCTATATCTTAAAAGGTGCTACCTCTGGTCTATGGGATTGCTGCTGAAGGACTTCCACCATAAATCAGCCACTGGAAGATGTTACGCTTGTTCATAAGTTATCCTCTTCTCCCATTTCCAAGAAAAATCCTTCTTTAAGGGAGCAGTGGACAAGTTCATTTTACATTAATTTTGCACTACATGAAGGTTCAACTGCCTTAATGAACATAAGGTCTCTGGTCAGTTTTAGGCTTACTAATTCCTGGAAGATGTGAAGAAAACCAAAACTGGAGCACAGCCTGAAGAGAAGACCCCAAGGAAAGCCCCAATCAATTACCTTCCTGCTGTGCTATTCCAACAGACCAGAAGATATAGCAGTTTGTTTTTCATTCACAAACACAAATTCAAATAGGTGCTTTTTTTCCTTTCTGGATGCATATTGTGACATATCTGATTATTTAAGAACTGTCTGCACTTTAACATCTGGATCCTTTGCTCCACTCTCTTTCAATAAAATATGATCTCTGTACAGAGCAGTATGTATTCTTCAGTTTTTCTTCAAACTTTTAGGGCAATGTTGGGTTGCAAAACCATACACTGCATCAGTCTTGCCCAATTTTGTACTTTCCAGATCTACTTAATCTGCTCCCTTAATTCACCATGAGCCTTTGCACTGATCATGCTGGGAGAGGCTTATGGGAGCTGATCTAACAATTGTGAAGCACCAGGTTGGAGAACACAAAACCAAAGCTACAGATCCATCACAGATCAATCACTTAAAGCAAACTAAGTTTGGCGTCATGGTGAAAGTGCTGGCCTAGAAACCAGGAGACTGTGAGTTCTAGTCCTGCCTTAGGCACGAAAGCCAGCAGGGTGACTTTGAGCCAGTTGCCATCTCTCAGCCTAACTTGCCCAACAGGGTTGTTGTTGTGGAGAAAATAGAAAGGAGTGAGGAAGGATTATTAGGTATGATTCCTGCCTTGATTTACTTATAATAAAAGTGGGATAAAGAATGGATGGATCTTAAGGTAACAATTGAAATTGACCTACTAGACGAGAATATGGGTCAGTAACAGATTCTTGGCAACTGAAGAGGCAATGCAGTGGAGCTAGGCTCTGAGACACTAACACTTTTCACAATATATTGGCTATCGAGGTCTTCTGAACATTTGCTTCAGTTAGCATATTGCTCTAATTATATTTATATCTATAGCTGACTTTTTCAGAGGAGATAATGTGTCAGCTTTATGAAGAAGGGGGCTCTTCTCTAATTTTATTCTCACAAAGATAACCCTAAGAGTGGATTGCAGTAAGATACCATGTTTCCCCAAAAGTAAGACCCAGCCCAAAAGTAAGCCCTAGCTTGATTTTGGGGGGTGGACCTAATATAAGCCCTATTCTAAAAATAAGCCCTAGTTTTGGGGTGAGGCACACGTCTAAAAATCAAGCTAGGGCAAGGGTAGGTGGGTGAAGCTGCCCCACATGCCCCTTATCGGTAGAACTGCCGCAGCCAGGCCTCCCACGCCCTAACACTTGTCAAGCCACGTAACTCATCACACCAGTGCCACCACTTGCAGCAGGTTGCACAGCGCTTTGTGCCATTTCTGCTGCTCGCAGCAGGACACCGTGCAGCTCTTCGGGCTGTTTGCTGCTCGCGGCAAGAAGCCACAGGCCATTTCTGCTGCTCGCGGCAGGACACCGCGCGGCTCTTTGGGCCTAGAACACGAGCAGCAGAAACGGCTTCTCTAGCTTCTTGCCACAAGCAGCAGAAGGCGCAAAGCACCATGTGGCTTCCTCCCATGAGTAATGACAACAGTGCAATGCACCACATGGCATCGGCCACAAGTGGCAGCAAACAGCCATAGAAGTCAAGCAGCAGCAAGACAGGTGTTGGGTGTGGAAGGCCTGGCTGTGGTGATCCTAAGGTAAGACATTCTCTGAAATTAAAACCTAGTGCCTCTTTTGGAGGCAAAAAATATATAAGACTCGGTCTTATTTTCGGGAAACAGTAACCTACATATAGTCACCCAGTGAGATCTCAAGTCAGAAAGAACTGAAGTTGGATCTAATGGGTCAACCTTTGCAATACAGTAGTTCTAGTGTAGGTTAAGCTAAGCCTATTGTATCTGGGCTGCAATACCTCCAAAAGGCAAGAGACACAGAAAAATCCGATTGCCAAACAAAGATCATCGGAATTTTCACACTTCAGGTACTAGACAGAAGTCACGGAGGACAGCTGAGAAAAAGCAGATGCACACCCGCAACAGCGGAACTTGCTGAAACCCAGGTAGCTGATTCAGCTCCTTGAGTCTTATAACGACTCATACTCGCTTCCTTCTAGGAAATGTGCCCTAAAATTGTAATTTCTTCGACAGCATATCATTTACATATAATTCTTGGCGCAAGAAACAATTCTTAGGATGTTTGAAAAACGAAGGGAGCCGAATGGGGTCGCAGAACCAAGAAAAGCCTCTCAAGTCACATACAATTCAGTTTGCTACAACAATGTCGAAACCAGGGAAAGTATTACAACCGATCCAACAGGAAGGCGCCGGTGCAATATGCCTCTTATTTGGCTGAAGAGGAAACCATACCAGCCCGATTTTCGCCTGCTAACATCTAAACCTAACATCCTCCTCCTTCCCACGAAGTCCCCGCCCTAAGGGCGGAGTATTTTTTAGCGCGAGGCCTGGCGGGAGTTGCAGTCTGGGCTGTTGTAGTCGTTCGAGTGTTCTCATCTTCTCCCGTGAGCGTCTGGAAAGCCGCGGTCGGTTTTGTCCAGTGTGACCGAGGCGACGGTAATGGCAGCGGGCAGGTCTGTGCGAGCGGCGCGGAGTTGCTTGAGCCCTTTTTGGCACCACTTGAATTACCCTCCGTTCCACTCCAACAGGTAGGGGGCCCAGTCATTCTTTTATCAATCGTCGTTGGCTTTCGGGCTGGTTCTCCTCCACCGCGGCGGGTTCTTGCGCCGGGACTGACGGGCTAGTCGCTTTTTCTTGCCGACGAGTGCTGGTTTGAAGAAAGCGGCTTTTCTAAAACGTGCGTGAGGGGGTGCAGCTCTAATTTGCGTGGCTATTTGCAGACAGGGTCTCCGGAGCGAGGCTGCCTGGGAGGATGTTTCCATTTAAATCGCTTCCCCTTGGACGCCCACCCCAACCCCCCGCGGCTCTCCGAGAAATACGAGGCGATGCCTCCCAGATTCCCCCGCTGTGGTTTCCTCGCCTGTGCTCAGGAATGGCATCCAGTCTTCAGCACTAAGAGGGGGGCGCGCGTCCTGGCTCCCGGCTGCATCTTTTTGCAAAGCGGCCCCTTCCCGAGAATTTGGGATCACTTGTCTGAGTTTCCTCCTCCTCTGCAGAGAAAGCGGGGGGGGAGAAATGCTGGCAGCTGCTGGACTTGAGTCGTTTGGGCGGGCACTGAAATGCTGCTGGAACTCCCTAGACGGCCTTTCTTGAGATGGATGCGAAGATCGGCGGGTCGCCTAGCTTACGAGCAAGGCTGTGTTCCATCCCTCTTTTCAATCGGGTGAAAGAGCCATTTTGCTCAGTGTGGGTGTGGAGGAAGCGGAGGAGGCAGGGGGGGGGAGAGGCAACATTCGTTTCGCGTGACTCCCTGCAGTTTACGAGCCAGAAGTGAACAAATCTGAAATCACTCTTCCCACCCACGTGGCCTTTCCACCTTCCTTTCTCTACCTTCTCCCTCTGCACAGGCTTGTTTCTACCTGCACGCTTTAAATGAGCTAATCTTTTAGAGCCCCCAATTTTCACGTTTACTTCCTCCACTTTGGTATTTTATCTCAGAAACTGTCTGAAAGCAGGAGAAATCCCTGCAGAAAAGATTTGGGAGGGAGGGGGAGGGTCGACTTGGGGGGGGGGGGGAGATTTTCAATGAAAAGACCAGGCTGGAGTTTTTCTACCACATGCCTTCAGCTGCTTCCAAGTTTTCTGAGCAGCTCACAAACCAAACACAATATTAAATATTAAACCTGTTCTATTAAGGTATGGTATGTAAAAGGCTAAGCTTATCCTTGTGATACAAAGGTAACATTGATCTCCAAATGAGTGTTTGCAGGCAAATGCTCTGAATATGCTGATTAGAGTAGCCATTATGATAGAACCATCTAATCTCTTTTGTTGCTATTCCAGTCTGGTATCACTTTAACTGTATACTTGAAAGTTAAAATTAATTGATCAACATAAATATTTAAAATGACACTTGATTTCAGAGATACTAATATTAGAATAACATGGACAAAATCTCAATGAAGACTGATCCAAGCCAAAGGTATCTAAAGGTTGGATCATGGCAACTGGATCAAACTTTGTTAATCTGAGATGTTTAGTTGCTCATCTGAGCAACTTCATCATGCAAAGTATTTTGGGAAGAAACCTCTGAAGTTGGTGTGGCAAGAATTAGTACATTCCAATGACTCTCTGCCTAACTTTGTTTTGACTGATCAGGTTGCTTGGATGAGTAACAAAACATCTCAGATTAATAAAGTTTAGTCCAGTTGCTATGATTTAATCTTTAGATAACAGGGACAAAATTTTCAGCCAGTTGAACGTTTATTCAGAAACATAGCTATACTGTAAAAAAAACAAGAGAGTAGAGTTTTTGATGAATTATTTGATTATATTGTGGGAGTGTGCTTAATAAATACTGAATAAGAGCATGTTTTATTTTGTGTAGAGTATGTATTTTTGTTGAACAGTGTTAATAATATACATTTATTTTATATGTTCTCTGAAGGCAAAACACTTCTGATTGCAGTGTTAATAATATACATTTATTTTATATGTTCTCTGAAGGCAAAACACTTCTGATTGCAAATGGTCTTTAATACAGTGATAAAGTAGGGGGTGGGGCTAGAATATCAGGACTCAGTCTGCAAATAGTACCATAGATCTCCCTGAAACAGTTTTGAAACCCAAATTCACAATCAAAACATTTAAAATACTGTTGATGGTCAACATGAGTTTTAAAAAGTTCCAGTAGTTTGGGCTTAAATCTTTGGAATAGTTGTTGAGTTTGTTCAGGTAGGTTCAGATACTATATATTTTTCAGCAACTACATTGTTCTGCAACACCAACTACTACTGGTAAGCAACCTATGCATATTAATGTAGAGCATAATTTATAAATGAGAAAACAATTTTAGGGGCTTTTGTTAAGTGCTGAGTTATAGTGTCCTCCAATTATCTACAACAGTATTATATTGGCATTAAATTTGCTGATCCTTTTCCTGCCTCTATTCCCTGTTTCACCTGAGTTCCCACCAGACATAAAACTTAGCAGATTTTAAAAATTTTGATGTCTTTAAATGATATTAAAATAAGATGAGCATACTGCTATGGATAAATAAGGCCTGTCTAGCTCATGGGCCAAGGACTAGATGAGGGGTGGGCAACCTTGGCTCTTTTATGACTTGTGGACTTCAACTCCCAGAATTCCTGAGCCAGCCATGCTGGCTCGGAATTCTGGGAGTTGAAGTCCACGAGTCATAAAAGAGCCAAGGTTACCCACCCCTGGAAAGGCAAGATCATGGAGTCATGCCAGAAAAATATATGTAGGGACATGTTTGTGTCATTGTTAATTACAAATGGGGGAAATACCATGTATGTACACACCCAGTATATGTATACCGTATGTGCCTTCTCTGCCATGATTCCTATTTTATGGAATATTCTTTTCTCTTCCCCCAAATTAGATTAGGTCCATCCCTTTTTTGACATTCCCAAAGTCCCTCAAGAACAGGCTATGTCATCAAAGTCCATCAAGAACAGGCTAGGTCAGTGTTTCCCAAACTTGACAATTTTAAGGCATGTGGACTTCAACTCCCAGAATTCCACAGCCAGCGTGGCTGTGGAATTCTGGGAGTTGAAGTCCTCATGCCTTAAAATTGTCAAGTTTGGGAAACACTGGGCTAGGTCATCAGGCCTGGGGCTTCCAGGGACCTGGAGATATGTGTAGGTGGCTCCATTGCTAAGAGACTTTTCTTATCCTCTCCTAGAGCTGTGTTTTTTATTTGCTTTTATGATAATATTTTTAAATCTGGATTTTATATTTTTATATTTCTTGTTTTTATCAGTGTTGTTATCCGATTGTTGTATGCTGCCCAAAGTTGTGGTTTGTTGGATAGGTGACTATACATATTTGAGGGATAAATACTTCGTATAGGTTCCATGCCTGTGTGTCATGGACACACAGATGAATAAACCAAAGTAGCAAAAAAGCAAACTATGTATCCTATATGTAATTAAATGATTTTACAGCAAATTCTATAGTTAAACATTGAACTTCCCTTTTGAACTTAGTAAAGGATTGTCAAATACCTAGCATGTGATAGACTTATGTCAACTATACAAATATCTATGTTACAAAAGACATGTGCATTCCCCAGTAACTTAGATTTCAACACCATTCTGAGGGTATGTTGTTCAATTTTACTGAGGATGTTCACCCCAGTGTATCAAATATATTATCTCTTAGAGTTGATTACTGATCAAATTAAAAAGCTTTCTGCCAGTTACTCATCCCTATTGTCTGTCTGATGGCAGAATGCTTGAAGCAGGGCTTCTAGAACAAACAATTCCTAGGCAGACTCATACAGAAGGAATCAACTGTTGAGATTTCAAACTTGGATTTTTAAAATTCAGAAGATCAGAAATTCACCATCCTCTGTCTATGGTTGCTAATATTTAGAAGTATCTACTGTCTACTCAGAACTAACCATATTGAATCAATGGAAGCTTTTGTATTCTTTTCAAAGATAGCCTCGTCACACAGAGCACAGCCCTGTACAGGAATCTGTTCTAGAATTGGAAGTGATACGGTAATTAAAAACACAAGAATGCTCACTGTGATTTAATGTTTTGGAATATCTGACTTGTTACTCTGACAAAGTAATTTCTCAGACTCAGTTGATAATAGCGGTCCTATTCTAGCTGTTGTCAGTCAGGCAAGTCCCTTAAGAATTGCCTTTCTTCCTTCTTTTCTTGTAACTATGGTTCACATCCAAGGCTTAGATAAGTAATGCAACTTGAATATGTCACCATTTAGACAGGTTTTTCTAGCTCCTGATACATATGACCAGGTAAAGACACAGGACAGCTCTTTTATGTATATATTAAGTATTTTTAGGATCTGGCCCTAAAGACTGAAGAAGATTGCTTATTTGAAATAGCAAGAAGTGTTATAAATTAAGCAGGTATGTGTTACACTGCAGAATTTACTGAGCTGGTAAAAGAGTGCATGTCTAGACAGTGATTTGTTTTAAGTAAGTTTTTGGCAAAGGCTCATTCAAACTCACTGTCACGCAATAAACAGCATGTGCAGTTATGTTCAGATATAAACAGCCAGCGAGAAAATGTAAGCATTTAAAGGGCAGCTTGTTTTAGAGAGGAGATTTATGAGCTGTTCTGAATGTTTGTGAACTTATTTTAAGCTTGTATCCTTTAAGTGGCTGCCTCACTAATCTAAGCCTCATTCAGGTGTTTGCCTGAACCTGTGGAGAAGAAATGTGGTTGCACATACAGTCCTCACCTGCCCTTCTCCAGCTTTCTGCCTTCAAATGAGACAGCTGAAGGGGGCCTTTGTGCTAAGAATTGAGATAATTCAAGGGATTGGGAATCCTATTTATCTGCTATTAATTTGGCAGGTTTCAGATTTTAGTTGATTTAATTACTTTTCATTAATTGCCAATTAAAATATGCTTCTGGAAAAAGCAGAAAAAAATTAAAAGGCAAAATACTCTCTGGTGGTAAATTCCCATTGTAGTTTATTATATGGCATGAGACCAACCATCTATTAAGCCAGGCCTGTCCAACCTTTTGACTTATCTGTGCGGCATTGAGTGAAGAATTATCTTAGGCTGCATATAATTATAAAATGTTAAAATTTATGATCTTGTGGAAATGCATTTCTAGCTGTCCAGGATCACATGCAGCCCATTATGCTAAATTATAACCTTTCTTTTAGCAAAATATATCACCTTTGTTTGTATATTTCAAAAGAAAATTCCTCTTCTGTCCATGGGGATTTATTCATGCACGAGTGGTCTTCATTTGGCAACTACAGTTGGGATTGGCAACTCAGTTGTTAAGCAAAGCAAGTGAAATTGCAACTGTGCTTATGATCTTACTTCAGCTTTCCTTTGCAAAGGTCATATATGCAAGAATTGGTCACAAAATTAATATGTCATCACCACTGTAACTATAGTTGCTGTATGAGGCAGGCATTAAAGAAGAAGTACCTGTATTAAATGAGTATATAACTGCATACTTGATATGTAAATTATATACATATGTAAGTGACTCTTAGGGAAAGTTTTGGCATTTCCTTTTCTAAAAAAAACCCTCAAGAACTGAAAGGAAATGCCAAAACCTTCTCTGAGAGTCACTTACATATATATAATTTTAAAAACTAACTTTACTATGCATTGCATGATGTCATACAATTGACTTCTTGACAATAAAGACATATATATAGAATGGGGTTCTGTTGTAAAAGGCAGGGATAGCAATAAAGACACACTTTCTTGGCCCACACAATGAACATGTTTAAATGAATGAACCTGGAGCACATCCACTCTGCCAGAATGTACTCTAGCAGGCACAAATAATTGGAGATAGACAGACTTTGAGACAACCAGGCCCTATGTTTTGAAGAACATTATAGGTGATAGCCAGCACCTTAAATTGCACATGGAAGCAAGCTGGCAACCAATGCAACTTTACCGGTTGCTGCTTACACAGCTGCATTTTGAACTTGTTGTAGTTCCTGGATGGTCTTCATAGGTAGCCCAATGTGGAGTACATTGCAATAATCCAGTCGTGAGGTGACCAGGATATGAATGACTATCTGAAAGGCCTCTCCTTTGAGGAAATTTTTATTTAATAGTTAGTAAATTGTTATCAGCAGCTGGAAGTAAAACTATGTGTATATGTGTAATGGGGAGGAGGGAGTGTGGAATATAACCTTTACTAATGATTTTTTTGTTTTGTTTTTCCCTTTAAAAATTGGCTGGAGAGGAGAAATAAAATTAACAAAATCCTAAAAGCTAAGGATTTTATAGGCTGGAAGAGATTGGCTGGAAGTCTGAACTATATTCCACATTGCATTCTTATTAATTAATGTCTAGCTTCACAAGCTCACTTGCTGCTATCCTTATCGCCCAAATTATTAGCATAACCTGTCAATGGGCTTTAAAAAAAATCAGTTGCCCCCACTCAGTTATCATTAGCTGAATTGCAATATCTAAGCATCTAAAAGATCATTGAGGAAACTAAAATTAGAATTCCAAATAACATTACCACATCTAATTAAATGCCTATGTGACTATCATAAGGATTCCTGTTGGTGCAGCTGATAATGAAAAGTGGATTCAGAGCCTATTCATTCCTGCACGTGTGCTTCTGCACACAAAGAAACAGTGGCAAAACTGAGTTTTCCTTATTGCAAGCAATGCCTTTTTGTTCACTCTGATTTTGTATATTGAGTTCTACTTTCTCAGAAAAATTATATATCTAAATTTGCTACAGCTATTTCTCAGCTGAGTGAAGTCACCTCTGCTGAACAATAAGAGTATATAGCTGACTGTTGCGTTACACAGGATATGGATAGAAATATAAATGTCTTATTCTATGAAGGATTCTAAAATTCTAATAAGCATAGAAAATAGATGCCTACTCTGTGTTTCCATTTTGTTGATCATATACACATTGTTAGTTCATTGTGTAATTGTAAACATTTTCTTGTGTTGTAAATGATGAGGTGTGTGGGACTGTCTCCTTCCTTGTCAGCTTATGTTTCATGCCTATGTCTTGAAGGTGCTAGACAGGAAAAAAAAACTATCATAGTAGTTAATGTCCTTTGATAATCACAGAGTACTATCTGTAAATCAGAAAATCCTGAATCAAGTTTCCAGAGTAAGTTGAATGTGCCTAGCTATTCATTTTTCAATCTAATTCTTTTAGATTGGCAAAAAAGTAAACAAAATATCCTTAACTTGTAGTATAATGCTAAGGCTAGATTCCTTAATACAATCCAAAAGCTTTGCAGCCATCCCAGTTAATAAGTGAATCTTTATTGTTAAAATAAAGATGAAATGGAAAGGCTTTTTGCAAAGGTATATTTCTCTACATTTTTGGTCTTTATGTTGTTTCAGAGGTTTGCTGTTCGCCTTCAGTACCGCTGCACAACAAAAGAGCACAGGGGATGATTGTGGTCCAGAAGATCCTCAGAATGAACCTAGACAGATCTTGAGGGGGGAAAATTTAGAGCAAAAGACTATCAAGCTAGAAGAACAACTCCGTGTCTTAACAGTAAGTGACTTTTTTGAGTTTGATATCCTGAATAAGGGACTGCACATCTAAATTTCTGTGCATTTTCTTAAAGATTCAGCCCTATAATTTATATAAAGTATTTTTTTTAATCTATGGGACCATATAGAACATTTGTCATTGACTAAAGCTTAATAGTGCTGCATCTATCAAATTGCAACTGAAATTGAACATGAATTATAAATACATTGTTCCAAATAAAATAGCCAAAGATCAATGAACCCACTTGATAACTATTTTAGTCCACCAGGATGCTAGTGGGAGAGATGAAGGATACTAAGAGATTCAAGAAGAGGGAGTAGTTAACAATTTATATCTTCTGTATAGGGGAGGGGTGTCAAACTCGCAACATCAAGTGATGTGCCGCGATGTATCGTAACTTTTTTCCATTGCCAGCAATGGGGTGGGCGCAGTTTTGCTATGATACATCCGGTCCGCGGGCCGGCAATTTGACACCCCTGGTATAGGGGAACATTCATGAAATGGTAACAGTCTTAAATGTCTGAATTAATGATACTGAAAAAAAAGGAAAGAGTTTTATTGGCCCTAATGAGCAAAACCCAGGCAAGACCATGGAGCAGCAGCAATCTCTTCCATCCCTGACCAAGTTACAGTTGTATGAACATTTGATGTTATCATAGATATACTGGATACAGCAGAAGAACATAATGATGTGACAGCCCCTCAAAGTTGACTAGATCAAGAAACAGACTCACAAAATGTTTAGAACTCTATTGAGATAAGCCACCATAACAGAAACTTGCAAGCCTGACTGGTTTTCCCTCTTATACTAGAAGGAGTCAAGGCAGAGTCAGTTTGAGTCACTTCTTAAAACATTCTGGCTCTGAATAGTTTCTTCATGGTCATCTCTGTGGTTCCCCACCTGATGACAGATTGCTCTTTAGACTGTCTATAGTTGCAGCCAGATTTATGGCAACAGAAACCATTGTATTGACAAGATTTATAGCTTAGGCATTGTGAGATTGACCACAGATTGAAAGACGGTCTTAGTAAAGCACGATCAAGCTGTTCAAAGAGACAGTTGAGTTGCTCATGAAATCCAAGGTTAAGACTTTTTCCTATAGCCCAACAAGGCAGCAGAGAGTACTAACACACCCTGTGGCATCATGACCAAAAGGACTACTCTTTGCACTCCTGCTTTCTTTCCTTGTGCTATACAAGATGATGTGTAAAGAAAGTTACCCAAAACACAATTGATTCTAACAACCTTGGCCCTAGGGGACCATAGCTTTATGGCATGGTAGAGATGAAAGCAACACCAACGGTGCCTTTTAGAACATTTGGATATTCTGTCTCAAGCTACTGGTCCAGAGTAGCTACAACCTCATGCTTGGAAGCTAAATAAGATCAATTGCTGAATATGGATCTTCCATGTTTGTGGTAAAACCACCTTGGTTACCAGATAACCTGCTCCAAGAATGGTAATACAAAAAACCAGAAACTTGTGACATGTGAACAAAAGTTCTTGGAAATATTGAGTTTCCTACAGATTGGAGAGAGAGCTATGCTGCATAGACAGGCATCTGCTTAAACTGTTTTTTGAATGATCAAAGGCCACTGCTTATCTAGAAGAAGGCCTTTTCTCTCTGCTTCGCAGGTTGGGAAGTTAAGGACACCCTTGGTTATCCATGTGTTTCATAACCCAAGTAATCTATAGCTGGATTTTTCCATCGTTCTGAAGATCAGTTCCCAGATTACATTATGCACTAGAAATTGTACTTCTCAAAATCAGTCCAAATCCAGCCAAGCCTATAAAACAAAATGGCTCGGATTAAATAGATGCAGGGTTCTTAAGAATCTACTAATCATATGGTGGAAAGCAAAAATACTACCACCTTTATCTCCTACAAAAATTTTCACTCTACATTTGGCATTCAAGTTGGAAAAAACATTGCCGTGGTGTATACAGCCAGCAAGAGACAGCCTCTTTCCTTCCTTCATAGCAATTCTGTAAGAGACACAGCTATTCAGGTGGAACTAGTGGAACTTTATAAGACCTTATAAAATAAATAAATTCAACTTATTTGATGCTAAATTGTTATTGGAAATACTGCTGTAGTATGGCATTTTCCTGTAAACTGTCTCCAATGAGCAAGAATAGTAGTTGAGTTTTCTCTGTTGTATCTCTCTGGTCACTGGAAGATGGAACTGACAAATCCCACCCTATATAGAATAGAAGAGGATTAGGAAACTAAACAGGGTTAGGATATGAGCTACTTGTCTTTCACTAACAGTTACGCATTCTTCCATCTCCATGTGTCTTAACAATTTTGTTATAGTGGAATATACAATAAAGGAAGAATTGAACCATACTCAGCGGAAGTCAATACATGTGACTGACTGAAGGGAAGGAATTTCCTTCATGGGACAAGAAGTCTTAAGTCCAGCTTCTAGCTAGAAGAGGCGGAGTTAACCTTTTCTTGTCCTGGCCATCTTCCAGTGACTTACTCCATGGTAAGTCCAGCTACTGTTTTTGGGCAGCAAGTGAGGAAGAAGTCTGCAGAGTTTAAAGTTCCCTTTGAGACTAGCTTGACTCCTGGACACTTGCAGGATACTTCCAAACAAGTTTCTTGGCATGATGAAGAAGAACTGCCTTTTAGAATTTTTGTTTTATTTTATTTTTCGCTCTCTCCATCCTTACCCCTTTTCTTGGTCATTGTCTTGGCACTCACAAGTAGAGTTCTCATTTCTGCTTAGCTTTCTAGATCATCCACCCATGCTATTTGCTGAGGCTACTGAAATAGCTTTTAAAAAACTTTGCTGTCTATTATCTTGGCAGTAATGTTTTCTTCTTGCATGCCTTGTATCACAGTCATAAGAAACAATTTATGTAAGAGCCCCGTTTCCTCATTTTTCCAATTTTGTTATTGCTGTTGTATTGCATAACAGTTGCATATTGATCTAGGTCAGTAGTTTTCTCAAGACCCATTTACATTCTTAAAAATAATTGAGCCCCCCCCTCAAAAGCCTAGGTTTATATGATTTATACCTAATAATATTTACTGTGTTAAATATTAAAACTTAGAAATTTTATTTATTTGACTTCAAGGACCCACTGATCGGTGTCTCTGAAATGGTCCCTTTTTAACCTATTTCTCGTTTATGATTATAATGGTAAGGCTGAGCCCATAGGATAAAAAGTAGGAAGTTTTTACCGCCTCCTCCAAGACCCCTTCAGATCTACACACTGCAGCCCAATTCAACCTTAGTATGGTGATTGGTGATTCATGCTTCCACCCCCTATCTTCCAGGGAGTGCTTCATCTAGGGCAGGGATAGACAACCTTGGCTCTTTTATGACTTGTGGACTTCAACTCCCAGAATTCCTAAGCCAGCATGGCTGGCTCAGGAATTCTGGGAGTTGAAGTCCACGAGTCATAAAAGAGCCAAGGTTGCCTACCTCTGATCTAGGGCCATCCCCAACATGCAAAAGGCATAGTGACCCCACACCCTTGTATTATTTTCTGGCAAATTTAAAGGAGAAAAAAAATGAAATAATTTCTGTATCATTGCCTGCTGCCTCTAGAGTATTGGAGGTATGGGGCTCAAATGAACTTTTCCTTCTCTGTCTTTTGGTTTAGGAGATCTTCTAAGTGATAAATAAAAATTAAGCCTTGTTGTGAAAAAAAAAGAGAAATAAAAATTCTTTAGATAGTCAGAAGGAAGCATTCAATGGCAAATGAATAGCAAACTGCCCAGAGCAGCTCTCTGAGGGAGATGGGCAGTTAAGACTGAAGGAAGAAGGGAAGGGAAGGATTTGGAAACTTAGGAGTAATTTTGTAGCAAAGGTGATGCTGTTCTCCTATTTAGAGCTAACTGCTATAAAGAGGGTCCCAATTGCAAACAACACAGAATTCCTGAACTTGTACAAAGAAATAAACACCAGAGAAAATAAATTAAAAAATATACCCAATAAAAATAATTCATCTCATGCAGAATTTCTAGCTGAGCTTGTTGCTTGTTTCCTAAGACAACCTAATGCTTGAAGCTAAACTTCCCTTCTCGCTTGTCTGGATTTTTTTCAGCTTCTTGCAGATTGTGGCTTTACTTTAGAGGTTTTTGCTCTATTTTTAGTTACGACGCTCAGCTAGTTTTAAAAAGAACTAAAGCCTGGAGAAGGAGCGGTTAGAGGGGTGAAACCTAGAGAAAGAGGAATTGTGGGGAATATATTCTTTTGTTATATGCTAAAATAAGCATCTCTCCTCAGGAGGATCTTGTTTAATTCAGGGCCACGCATTCCCTATCTAGGAATTAAGCTGTCAGTTTTGTAAACGCCAGGTGGCGTGCCGCCAGAAGAAGTGGAAATTGTAGGGCAATAGATATCAAGATAATATGTACTAACATGGCTTCCACACCAGTCTGTTTTTTTTAATAATTAACAAATCTATTGCCTACCGTATGAGTAAGCTGTCTGACCAAGCTGCATTAAATATTCTTTGCACCAATATGGAGAACTCATTCTCTGTTACTTGGATTTAGAATTCTTTTGCCTGATTCTGCTTCTTCCTCTGAATGTAGGAACGATACCAAAGAGCCCTAATGGATTCTGAAAATGTCAGGCGTAGAACACAAAAGTTTGTTGAGGATGCTAAGATTTTTGGTAAGTAAACAGACATGCTAGTGTTGTGCCAGAGTTTGATGCAGTGCTAGCTTTATGTATCTTCAGTAGTATTTCTTACGACTGTGCATGTATTGAAAAATCATTCCTAAGAAATGCTTTGGACCTCACATGAGTCCAGCACCTCTTCTGTTCACTGAAGGAGTCCAGCAATGTTTTAACTTCAGCATAAGCCTGAAAAAAAAGATTCCACTAGTTTAGATTCTCCATCCTTAAAGCTAATGAGATTCATAATATTTATTACACAACAGTTTACAATGTCAAGTGAAATAAAACAACAAAATACACAGTAAAGGAGCATAATGGTTAAAAATTAAAGCTGCAGTGAAAACACCATCTCAGTGAAATGTGGTAATAGCAATAGCACTTAGACTTATATACCGCTTCACAGTGCTTTACAGCCTTCTGTAAGCAATTTACAGAGTCAGCATATGGCCCCCAACAATCTGGCTCATCATTTTAGCGACCTCGGAAGGATGGAAGGCTGAGTCAATCTTGAACCGATGAGAATCGAACTGCCAAACTGCAGGCAGTTGGCAGTCAGTAGAAGTAGCCTGCAGTACTGCATTCTAACCACTGCGCCACCACAGCACAGTAAGATATTGGAGTAGAAGTATAGAGGCCTAAATTCAAATTTCCTGACAACTCTGGGACCCTATTGGGTAACCTAGGGCCAGTTACCCTCTCTCAGCCAAATCTGCCTGTTGTTATGAGAAAAATAGAAAAGAGTGCTGTGTTCACAGTCCTGAGTGCCTGAATGAAAGGCAGGTTATAAATTTAATAAATGATTATTTGGAGATTGTGGGTCAGACTATGTGATACAATTTTATTACTCCATATTGCTAAAATAAAATGGAGTGTAAAACAATTGGGTTAATTCATTAGCAACCTGAAAATGACAATAGAGTGAAACCTACTTAAAAAAGATAGTTGCTGTGATTGAACAGCTTTTTACAGGTTAAAAGAAATATATTCTACTGATGCAAGCATATGTAATGTCTGGATTTACAGTTTGGTGGAAGCTTCAAATTGAATCAGCATAAATACGACTGTTCCTGAGATCCAGGAAGTCCTTCTATTTAGATAATCCAAGATCCCAAAATGTTTTTATCCACCTTAACTATTGTTATCTTGATTTTTTGTCTCTCTTTGTGTCTGCAGGCATCCAAAGTTTCTGCAGAGATCTGGTAGAAGTAGCAGATATCCTGAAGACAACCTTGGAGATTGTTGTAGAGGAAGATAGTGATCCAGCTCTGGCCCTGAATAAGATCTGTGAAAGCCTGACTCTTATAGAAGTCAAACTACAAAGCATCTTTACTAAGCATGGCCTGCAAAAAATGAACCCCATTGGTGGCAGATATGACCCCTATGACCATGAAATAGTGTGTCATGTGCCAGCAGAAGATACGCAAACGGGCACTGTGGCTTTAGTGACACTGGATGGTTATAAACTTCATGGCCGCACTATCAGACATGCACATGTAGGTGTGGCAGTAGAATCTCAAGAATCTGATGAACCTGTATCTTAGTAATTGGGATCTTATGAACCTATTTCTTTTGTCCACATCATTACTGCTGCTTTATTTATTAAGCCACACTGATATGATTTGCTGGTCTCTTGGGATTGGCATGATAATTTGGCCTTCCCTTTCAAGATGTAGTTATTGAATGCTAGTTTTTCCTGTTGTGTAAAGATATGTTTTTTTGATTGTGTCACAAATGTAAGGAGTGATGTTCTCTTTTCTGTTGTTGATTTTAAGCCTGCATTAAAAGGAATGTAGGATTCATTCCAACAATGCACAGACCTATTGAAAAGTCAGTCAGTAAAATCCCATTGATTTCAATAGGTCTATTCAAGGGTGACTAAAACTGGAACCTGTTCTCTGAAAAAAGCCTTTTCTCCAAGATTTATTTTTAATCTGCTTGTTAATCTCGCTATAGTTCCCATTTTGCTTTTTTATAGTCTGTGGTATACATTTCATCTGAGCTTTATTTACAGTAACCCAGAGTCATTCTTATTTCAGTCTGGTTTCTTTTTTCAATTTATGTTTTTATTCATGTGTTATTTGAGACATTCTCCTTAAGCAATACAAGACTAATGGATTTTTCATCTTTAAATATATGGACAATGATAGCTCTGTGGTTCTTTGATAATTGGCCAAGAATATGTTTTGGAGAAGATTCTAGGCACCACTTAACCACTTAAGTCCAAGACTGCCTTCCTTCTGAAGCTGTTTTTAACTGTACTTGGGCATTTGTGTTTTGATGTGACCTGAGAATGCATGTGCCATGTCTATGTGGTTTGAAGCTTCAACACTTTTCTTTTTGAATGTTTCTTAGATTTGGTTTTGCATCTCAAAATTTCCCTGAGTGCCTTGGCCAGTAAAAGTATATTCTCGGTCCTAAATTATTTGTGAAAATGGATTCGTAAATATAATCTTTGTTTTCTTGAACTTTTCAAGAAGCTGCTTTTAAGCAGGGATATGATACCTGTCTATCTTACAAGAGTGGTTTGGCTAATTAAAAATTGTAGTGTGTTTTGAAGGTGAACATCTCTTTGGGGTACTGAGTAATACAGGAGTTTATTATGCCCAGCAAAATAATTTATTAATTTGTTTTGCTCTAAATTAATTTTAAATTTGATCTTCCACATTATGATCTAGCTAGTCCAAAAACTCACAAATTCTCCATCAAGATTTTCCACATTTCCTAAATTGGCTTAATTCAATAAAAGGTCCTCTAAATGTAGCATTTTAAAAAGGGGAAATCAATATTTAGTGTAAAACACATGTCTTACATGGAGCAGATCAGTTCATAATATTTCAGGTTGTAAAATCTCTTGCAACTATATTGTGAAGGAGCTTCCTTTGGGATTATGTACTGTACTGTCTAACTCGCAATGACTGGATAAGATGAACCAGTGAACAGCAGTGTAAGAATTGTGGACTGTTAATAATTCTGCAAATAATCTGCTGCCATTTTCCAGCACAGCTTGACATATTATCACCAATGATGAAAAGGGATAGTATTGGCCTTTTTCAATTTTGGGATAATGACTACGCAGGTGTTACTGAGAAAAATATTAATTTAGAAATGATTAGATGTCATCTGTTTTATGTTTAATTTAGTTTTTTTTTAAAAAAATAAAAATAAAAGTTACAGACTCACTGAGTAAATTTAATTTAATGATCAAGCCTGAGAATGTGAGCTTTGATACAAAGGGAGCTGGCTTTATGGAGCTATTCAACTCAGAATAAGCCCATATTAGACTGTTCACCTGAACCTCCTTAACTCGAAAGGGAGGAAAAAGCACTATGACCTTGATGCAGCATAGTATTGTGATGAGTGCATAGTGCCTTTAGAAGGATTGAGTATTTTATAGGATAAAGCTAGCCAAATCATGGCCTCAGGACTGAACAAGACCAGTATTATGTAATAGGAAGTACATTTGGGTGAAGTTGAATAAAGAAATTCCACTTCATGTGCAAGATGGTTGACAGAACAAACACTGACGGTCATGATTGTGCATACAATATGTTGGTTTGGTGTTAGCCCAGAAAAGTAGGGAAGAAAGCCATCCCAGGAGGGTTATTTACTAACAAACATACCTAGTATACCAGTTTCTCTACAACAAAAGGAGTGATGAAGTTAAGAAATGCAATAACTGAATCCTTTGGTCAGCCATAATGATGTGCTAGATCCGGATATAATGTGAATTTGCCATACTTTGGCATATATTTCTGGCTCTCCCTCCCAAACTATACAATGACAGAGCCTGAGATGGAGAAACAAAAGAATGGATTTCTAAATAGGAAAGCTAAACATATCTAAGTGATCAAAGAGAGAAGCAACCTGGAATTAAGGAGAAAGTTCCTAACAGTGAGGACAATTAACTAGTGGAACAGCTTGCCTTCAGAAATCATGGGTGCTCCATCCCTGGAGGTTTTCAAGAAGAGGCTGGACAGTCGTCTGAGATGGTATAGGTTCTCCAGCTTGAGTGGAGAAGTACTCCAAGGTTCCTTCCAGCTCTATTCTACTGCAAACATGACAATACTTCTGATTCAGCTATTATTCATTGAAACAGCAAGTGGTTGCACCTAATTGCCCTTGACTGATATATATAAAACAAGAAGGGTCACACCAAGAATATTTGGATGGAAGGTCAAAACCATTCCAGTTATCAACCAGATTGGGAAATTGGGCAAATGCTCTGAAAGGAGGTGATGACAACTCATTTCCTTAATATTTCTAGGAAATGAAGTTGTTATGGAGTCATCAGGAATCAAGATTAATTTATAGAGGTACTGTTAGTCTTCCAGCAGAATTGATGTAGGGAATGAGCATGCAAGAGTTTAGAGCAGAAGGAAAAGAACTGTTATGCAGTGCATGGAGTAAAAAACAGTGCAAAGTGTGAAAAATATATGCTTGATGAATGACTGGGAAAAATACACTTAAGATCAGTGCAGAAAAAGAAATGAAAAGAAGCTACTGCATTATCTGTAGAGAGAATATCATAGTTACAAAGAATGTAATTAAAGAACCATTCCAAAGGAAGGAATGATTAAGATTATGAGGTGCAGAGACATGCAGAATGAGATTGATAAAAATAAATTGTTTTGGCAGTGGGGAGGGAGGAGCCTTATCAGAGTGAATACAATTTAAATAAAGACCTTAGGGAAGAAATGGCAAACAGAAGACTGCTCTCCAAAAAGCAGACTACGTTGGAATGAAGGACCAGCAAATAGACTGGCTCTTCATAATTCCTCTTTGGACAAGGAGAGGACTTAAAATTGTCCACAAGTGCTCAAGACAGTGGTCTGTGGTGGGTTTAGAGCTCTTAAGAGAGGATGGAATAGCCATATTGTTCCAATCATGGTTGACACCTTTAAAAGGCTACTGGGTTCAAGTACTTTTCTAATCACTTTCAGAAATTGCTTGTTAATTGCTTAATAGAAGGATTTGATTCTGACAGTTTCCTTTGATCCTTAGCTAAAGAGGTTTTAACTAGAAAATAATTCAGGAAAGCTTTATGTAGGAAGGTGCCAGGCAGATTTCTGTTCATCAACATAATTTAATGTATGAGTGTGAGAAAGAAAACAATTGTATAATTGCTGAGTTAGAGAAAGTATGATAAAATTAATGGGCTTGAATTGTGGAATGATTTGTGCAAACATGTGAAGAATGTTTTCCTAAGAAGTAAAAATGACTATACATAAAAGCATACTTCAGCCCACTTAATTCTATGGAAGTGAGAGATGGATATACGGAGGAGGAGAAATGGAAGCTGGGTGGAGTTGGAAAAAGTATTTAAGAAATGTGTACAGTAAAACAAGAGAATGACATAATAGTGAGTGTTGCTGCTATAAATAAGATGTTGCTGTTTCCTTTTCTTATGCAATGCCTTCATCTATCTGCCCCTTTTGCACTTTGTGTGATGTTGCTTACTTAAGAGGAAATAAGAGTCATGGCTATATATATATACACACATAGGTACGTATCTATAGAGATTACTTATATCCCCACTTTTTAGATACAAATCCTACAAAGCAGCTCACTAATAAATCAGTTTTTGTAATTTGTAATTATACAAATAAGGTTCCTGATATTTAAAAAAAAACAATTTCAGGGCAAAAGCAAAAGTTCTAGTAGTGCTGGGGGAGGCCTGAAGGCTTAATTTTTCTCCCTTACTGGCTTTGTCCACCCAGTAGACTTACCTGGGAAAGTCTACTGGGTTAGATCTACATGAACATCAGACTATAAAGTGTACAGGTTGGCTTGTATGTATGTATATGGCTAGAACAAGTTGATTAATTTCTAGTTCAGTAGACTGGTTCACCATGTAATGCATATCTAGCCCACTCACCCTACTACATCTAGCTAGATGACTTTGCGTGGGAGGCTTAAAGTGATGTAATGTCTCTTTGAGTCAAACTCTGGTGACTACGTGGACATATCCAGGCTGGGGAGTGTTGCAACAACATAGAACTGAATTGCTCCAGCTGTCTGGGGATTTCATGCAACCTCATGAACTTCCAGATTTCATAGTAAGTACTAATCCGCTCTAACCAACTTATTACAGGTAGTCCTCACTTAATGACAGCAATGGGATTGGAATTTCGGTTGCTAGGTTGTGCAGTCATAAATGTCACACAGTTGTTAGATGTCATGTAACTGCTCTGCTTAGCAACGGAAATTCTGGTACTTCCATTTGCCATTAAGCAAATCACTGGATTGTTATGTGAAGATAACATGTGGCTGCCATTTGCAACCTTTTGTGGCTTCCCTATTAACTATGCTTATAAGAAGCCAGCAAAGATGATTTTAAAAAGGGTGTTGTCTTACCTGAACGCTTTTTCTCAGCAGGATGGTGTAGAATCCACTGATTAGGGTAATCTAAGCCTTCCTACTCAGACTAAGACAAAAAAACTTCGCTACGCCTCCTTCTGGGCGTGCCTTCCGCAGTTTTGTCGAGGCGAAGTATCCAGACGCAAGGCTCCAAATAAAAATAAAAGATACGCCTAGACTAATGACAACAGGGTGGGTGTGGATTCTACACCATCCTGCTGAGAAAAAGCGTTCAGGTAAGACAACGCCCTTTTCTCCAGCAGGATGGGTGTAGAATCCACTGATTGGGACATACCAAAGCCGCTCATGTCCCTGTAGGGAGGGAAGTCTAGGCTTGTGTCCCTTGAGAAGTAACTACCTGCTGTAGGATTCGCCTACCAAAAGCAGCCTCCACCGCTGCAAATTGATCTATAATGTTTAATGAAGGAAGAGGGAGAGGACCACGTCGCTGCCCTACAAATCTCCTTGAGTGATGCCTGGGTAGACCAGGCTGCTGAGGCTGCCGCACTGTGCGTAGAGTGAGCAGTGATGTGAGAAGGGACTGGAAGGGACTGAGAAATGTAAGCCCTGGAAAAACAAGCCCTAATCCACCGACCAATAGTGGAAGAAGAGACCTTCCTACCCATTGTAGCAGACTGAAAAGACATGAATAAGGCCTCTGACTTCCTGAAGGCCGAGGTTCGTTTGATGTAATGGCGTAAAGCTCTGCGCACGTCCAACGTATGCCACCGTCTTTCCAGACGATGTGATGGGTTAGGACAGAAGCTAGGAAGGACTAGGACCTGGGAACGATGGAAACCTGTATTGACCTTTGGAATGAATGCGGGATCCAATCTGAGGACCACTCTGTCCTCATGGAATGTGCATAGGTCCTCCCTGACCGACAAAGCAGCCAATTCTGAGATTCTCCTGGCCGACGTAATGGCCACTAGGAAGGCCACCTTCAAGGTAAGGAAGTGAAGGGAGCAATTGCTCAGAGGTTCAAATGGAGAAGAAGTTAAGGCATGCAACACCCTGGACAGGTCCCAAGATGGATAAGAATGGACCGTAGGTGGCCCGGAGTTGGCTGCGCCCTTGAGAAAGGCACTAACTGCTGGATGTTGAGACAGGGAAACTTGGTTGTCACAGGTGAGAACCGTCAACAAAGCTGCAATCTGCTTGCGTATAGTGTTGGTTGACAGACCTCTATTTAACCCTTCGAGTAAATAATCTAATATGTCTGGGATGGTGACAGTAAGCGGTGAGAGCCTCATCTTGGTACACCAAGAACAGAAGTTTCTCCAAGTGGCGTCGTAGATCCTATTGGTCAAGGGACGCCATGAGGCCTGGATCATTGAGAAAACCCCAGAGGAGAAAGATTGTCTAGTTAGACTCTCCAGCTCAAGCGCCAAGCGGCTAGTTGGAGCCATTGTGGATCCGGGTGTTGAAGGTTCCCCTGGTTGATTGCTACTCGATCTGGGGGATCCTCCATGGTGGCGAGAGCGACAGATCCACTAGGTCGGCAAACCACGGGCGTCTTGGCCAGTATGGAGCAACTAAGATTAGCTCCACCTGTTCGTGGAGAATAGTTGCCTGTAGTAACGGCAGAGGAGGAAAGGCATAAAGTACGCCCTCCGGCCATCTGCTCCGGAGGGCATCCGTTCCCTCTGCCCCACTTACCGGGAATCTGGAAAAGATCCTGGGGAGCTGTGTGTTGCTCGGTGAGGCGAAGAGATCTAGGATGGGATAGCCAAACCTGTGCGATATTTTCCTGAATAGGGTTGAGTCCAGTTTCCACTCTGAGTGATCCACTGTGGCCCTGCTCAGGGAGTCTGCCTGTTGA